CCCACAATGTCCACCTACAAGCACATCCCTTGCACAAACACCCACATCCCTGAACAGATCACGATCGGTTCTGGCCAATCTGAAGACGCAATTAGAACTCAATTAAGAAACACTCAGGTAAAGGAACACAACCCAGATATCCTCCTTCTCAACTCAACATACACACACGCAAAAAATCAAGCGCTTTGCGTACACATGTAGACAGTCACCTCACGAATAATACGAGAGGGTGTAGCTGTAACAAAGCCAGGATTTTAGAGTAAGCTATGCCATGTTTTAGAGGAAATACGTATGAGAATCTCAACTTAAACAACGATTACCCTCCATATCTCCCTACACGACAGGGATAACTGTGTTGGTTGCCTGGAAGCTAGAGTTCGTGCCCAGCAAGAGGGTACTCTATTTGCAAACGTGTGTTGGAATTTTGTGTCGAGGTGTGGGACGTCTGTGGTGGTGACATGGCAGGTATTTGGGTGTATTGTATTTGGTAAATCCTTAAGTTCCCAGTTGTTGTGAGATACGCAGCTAGGAGAATAGGTTTATCGTTTTGAAGTGTAATTATCAAATCCTAATAGAAAGTGTTCAATAAATACAGTGACTTAAGAAGTGTCATAATTCATCCCTCCCCTTATTGAGAAAAGTTGATTTACTTTAACCTCCAAAATCTACACCTAGACACCAACGTCATCATCCTAGGCCACCCGGTTCTAAAGTTATAGGGCATTTTCCTCATTAGTCTCTCTCGTGGCGGCTATCTATAATTTTGAGATAAACACAGCGATGATATTTAATGACTTTTAGTAGGTGATATTATGATGTATAATAAAAATTTTTCTTTAAAAAAAATCAGCTTGATGAGATTTTTTATCCAGGTCACAAGTTAATGCTCCTGGGCTAAAACAGATCATTAGTGAACTTCGATTTGAGTGTCGTCCCATGACAGTAAAAAAACAGTTTAAAACTCTTTCATCCTCTGTTATTGAACGCTGATGAATCGTCACAACAGTTGGTTATTTCTATCTCCCAAATTCCAACTTTATTTTTGTTTGTTTTTTAGTGTGTGATGTCGACCGGACTGAAAAGCAAACACAAATCGAGCAAAAATCGATCACAGTTCTGATGTGTTTTTGATAAACCGAAGCTCCGAAGGCAGGAACACCACGGCCTACTTGCTATTTAATAGAAGTAAATTGATATTAACGATCAATAGCAAACCGTATCATGTAATAGACTCTTCTAAGCGAGAGGAATGAACTGGTATATATATTTCAGTTGCTGTCAAAAGTAATCATCCACTTCACCACAATTGCGCCTGGTTGGGTCATTTCTGCACGGTAAGACACATAGGGTGGTGGGGGGGATGGTCGACATGGAGGAGGGATGTGTGTTGCTGGGAAGGGGAGATGGGAGAGGTGTAGGATGGTATGTGCAAGTTGTTCACCAATAATGGGAGAGGATTGAAGAAAACAGGAATATTCATGAAAGAAGGGAAGGATGGAAGTAATTTTTTCACTATATTATCTTATGTTAACACGGTTATTATATTGTGTCATTCATTTTCTTATGGTTACTTTTGACCGCGACTGTACTTAAGGTTCTTGTTAAGCTTCTTCACGGTGACACCTGATTCAGATGCTTAACACTACCTCCCGCATATGAGGGAACCGCCGGACCAGTTCACCATTTCAGATATTAAAATCTGAAAGAAACTTGAGAAAAATAATCATCACCTGCACACCAAAGTACCCTGGACGTAATGTACGGTAGAGAAAAGACTGAACAAGCATTGGGCAGATGTCATGTTTGGTTGCAGGTCATTAAATTATTTTGTTTAGTCACTCCCTCATCTGCTATGACGTCAAATAACATCAGAACTGGTCATACACGAGAACAGTCTTCCTCCATTAAACCATGAATGACTTAGGAGAGGGTGAGAATGTGTTACAACAATGGAAGAGCTTCAGTTAATGTATGTTTTAGCTACACAGTGAATGCTTGTAGCTTTACCGTCTCCTTCATAGTAAGGAACGTGATCCTGACTATAAACTGTAGCCGTGGTGCTCACTAACACTGACGGACCCGAGTGAACATAACTAATACTGCTTTGGGTTCTGTCACACTACATGACGCCAGGGCGCTACCCACAGCTACCAAGTAACTACAATAATGAGATAATAATATAAACACAATGTTTTATATTTACACTAATATAATAAAAGAAGTTAAACTACGAATGAGAATTAATTAATGCAACAATATCGTAAGTTTTCCTCTTAAGTTAACAAGCAACTCGGTTAGTGGCAGGTGTGGGACAGGTCACTCACCTTATTGACGGCACTCAACTGTGAACGACTCGCTCGCTGTTCATCAACAGACTCACTTTCCACAGACTTCAGCCAATGTAGTATATCTAAATTATTATAAAAGTCAACAGTCTTCGTCACAACTTATCTCTCCATCACATACACACAACAAGCTTACTCCCAGTCTCTCCGCATACTGCCGAGTGGCGATTTTTGAAGAAAATAGCTGTGGTGGTCCCTGCGAATGCGCCGTGCATCATACTCACATCAGCTCACCTTAGGCTCGTCGAATGTACTGTACCACACAGCTCTCTTATACACCTGTTAATAAGCGCACCTATGTGATGGTCTGTTTGCTGGTTACCTTCCTATAGCGTGACACATAAAGAAAACTATTGACCTTTATATATAGTTCTGTGATACCTGTAAAAACTGTTAAGTCTTATCATTTGTATCTGTCCGGGGTCAGTTCAGGTGGAGACCCTCACTGTCGGGGGGTCTGATCTACATGTTTTCATAGTTTTAGACATTCATTCTCGTACCATAACAAGCAGTCAACGCACCAAGTTTCATACATGTTTAGAATGTTTAAACTGGAAACGTTTGAACACATCCCCAGACGCCCGAACACATCCCAAAACGCCCGAACACATCCCCAGACGCCCAAACACATCCCCAGACGCCCAAACACATCCCCAGACGCCCGAACACATCCCCAGATACCTGAATACATTCCCAGATATCCGATCACAGCCTCAGACGTTCTAACACATCCCCAGACGCCCGAACGCATCCCCAAACGCCCAAACACATCCCCAGACGCCCAAACACATCCCCAGATGCCCAAATTACCCCTGTTGTGCTACTGCGTCACCCTGAACAAGACATCCCGGGAAGAATTTTTTTTTACACAATGTCAGGGCTCAAGCTCCTCCCAGTGTACCCAACCGTATGGATAAAAAAGTAGTCCCATAGTGGCTGACATACTAGCTATATTATTCCCCATCTTGTTACCTGACAGTCTTGGCAATACATTTTATTACCTTTAAATAATGAGGTAAATATTGTAAACCTTCTGTTTTTATTGATATTTTGTGATGGGAATTAATGTGATAATGATAAATATTGCTTTGTTTCACTGGAGACGTCGTTTACCATCCCTAGACAACCCTCAGTACACCTCAGCTCCCCGATAGGTAGTTATAGATTGTTCTGTACCTAAATGGATAACTTCTTTACTTTCGTCATTTATTTGTTAATCTCATAATACAGAAGACATATCAAACAAAGCCAACTTTAGATTCAGAAACATCAAATGCTAAATAGTCGACATAAGTTCAGGGTCACTTAGAACGTAAACCCTTAATTCCAGTTTTCCATGACAGGTCTTCTAGCGGGGCTGCTTGCAGACATAATGGGGAAGACAGATGTCACAGCAGCACTTCTCAACACCTGGGCAATCGTTGTCAGTATTACATATTTGAGGTAATTGATTGCGAAGGAAGTTTGGGCACTCAAGTCGCATTCTTGGGCACTGGTACTGTGGTTCTGTCAAGATGTTGGTGCATTAGTCGACGTATTAGGTGAATATCATCCTACATATGTGTATAAACAAAGTGTAGTAACTCTTATGCAAATGTAAAATATATGAAATAGTTACCAAGGCTAAAATATTCAAATTTATTGTAGTCTAAAAAATTTTATTATTATTATTCGGAAGTTGTCTGTATATTGAACTACAGTAGACTGACTTTCACCAGTATGATTGGCAGAGTAGGAAAGATAATTTATGTCATTTACTAAGAAACACTCATTTACTAGTAGTTTACTGTACATACTGTAGAAGATAACACTTACTCTGGTTCCTGGAGCATAAGTAACGGTTGCTGTACTGGTCGTATTGGGAGTACCGGCACTGTTGAGTGTGTGGGGTGAGACTGTCCGGCCGACAGTCCAGACCATCAGGGTGGACCGGCACGATTTCTGGGTGGACCACTCCACCTATCACGCCTCCATGACCTGCTCCAGTGCCATGACCAGGTATTCCACTTGTAAATCCAGGGAATAATCCTGTTCTAGGGACTACCGGATCCTTTGCCTCCTGACCTTGTGCCCACACCGCCGCCACTACCACCGTCACCAGTACAACTTGTAGTCTCTGTAACAACAAATAATAAATGAGAATCTCACGGGAGGTGTCTTAAATCATGTGAGTTTGTTCTGACTACTACTATGGCTGTCGTACTCGTTGTTATTACTGTGTCTGCACTGAACAAGGTGGTTCGTAAATCTCAGTCCGCCTGTACAGCTACTGAAGCAGTAGGTCAGGCTTGCCCAATCGCTGTCCTTCTGCAGGTGAAAAGTGACAGTCGGTGCAGCACAACAAGTGAGAGAGTAAGTGTTGTGAACACTCTGCCTAAGTTAAAGGCCAGTTTGCATACGTGTCTGCGTTATTTTCCTTTACTATAAAGTATGTACACACACACACACACAAGGTGGACCTCTAGCGGGCCACTACGGCCATGAGAAAAGATTTGGTTAAGGAAGTTGTGAACTGCTGGGGCGTAATGGGCTGGCACATCGTCTTGTTGGAATATGCTATAATGTTACCTGTCACACCTTTACAGTTGAGGTACAGGAATGATCCCTCAAAAAGGTCAGGCGATGAGCTGTAAGGTGGATGGAGTACAAACCCTGCCCGCGAACCGTTACTATGACCTGGTAAATATCGAAGTATTAACGGTGTTGCTGTATAACCGCTGGAGACTCTGATGTTAGTGTTAACGGGGCAAGAATGGTTCACGGGGCAAGAATGGTTTACGGGGCAAGAATGGTTCACGGGGTCAGAATGTTTCACGGGGCCAGAATGGTTCACGGGGCAAGAATGGTTCTCGAGGCCAGAATGGTTCTCAGGGCGGCTTAGTTCTGGATATTGTCTTTCCTGAAAGCCAAGGTCGGTGTACACTGCCAGCTGGACACACCACATACTCAATAAATTTACAATCCCCTTTTTCATGTGAGTCCTGACTAAGGGACCTCCTACTGTATGAACATGCCAGATATGTCATTATCTTTGAGATGTTCAGCCCACAACAATAGCGTTCTTTGTCAGGGTCTCTTTGAAGAAGACTGGCTAATTATACGTTCAGTGATCGTCTGGAATCTTTTTGTAGTGGCTGTGACATTTCTTTCACTTATTTGCAGGACAACACAGTCAAGTGATTATGTTTCAGCAGATAGTCATATATTTATAATCCCCAATAAAGTAGGAGTCTTTTTTACTGTTGGGTGGAGAAAAATAACAAGGTTACTGTTCTGTAAAACTGGGAGGTCACTGAACCGCCTCGTCGCTGGGAGAACACGAGGAAGCTGGTGCCGTTGTTCAACTCGTGAACTGTGTGAGGTGAAGGCAATAGAGGCCTACCCTGGGTCTTAAAATCTAATATGTTGACCCACTGATTTGTAAAGTGAAGAATTAATTACCGGCTGCCATTTTTGAATATATTTCAAAACAATCAGAAATCACTTAAAACTATACAAAGCAGACTTGAGGGGCCACCTTACCTTCATCGTAGTAGTGAGAGCTGTGTGGGGACGCTGCGTTGCCTGGGTTTATATACCCACCACGCCTCCCCACGCTGCTCCTCTGTCTTCGCCTGAATTTCCGCAGTAGCTAAAATCTCTTCATTCTTGGTCATGTCTCACATATTTCTTTAAAGTCAGTTGTAGATTAAGATGATCTATGATTTGATATTTAGGAGAAAATCGAAGCAGATGGCTTGTATTGTAGTCGTGGTGATATGTGCCAGTTGCCAGGGACACGTGCTGGGAACTACGTTACTAACCCAGCCAAATATTTTGTTTCCAAGACCGGTTCCTGCGAGGTTAAACCCAAAACAATGTGTTCCAGTAGGTGCATCCTAAGGCTCCATAACACTGCATCAACAACATAAACAAAACACAAGGAACAATGTGTTGCCTATAACTTCCTACAACTCTTTACTTTAGATTTCTTTCCTGTAATGGCAAAATAACAACGTATTTAACGACAAAAAGAAGATTTAGCTGTTATAATTTTTTCCATGATTAAAGTTCTCAGATGTTCGCGCTGTTTATTTATTCATTTATATTTGTGGGTGGCGAAGACCCAACACCGGCAAGAGACCATCACCTCACCTGGTGCTGGGTGGGGGAGGGGGTGGCTACTAATACACACGATTTCAACATTCGCCAGCCAGCCTTCGCCGTGAACGGACCTCTCTTCTGACCCTTCACTGCTAAAGCCTGCCAGCCTGTCTTTAATCGTTGACGAACCCGAACGAAAACGACCACCCTCCACCATTACTCACACACCCGGGAAGCTCGTTCCAGACAACGCCCTTTCTGTGCCTCCCCACTGATCAGGGGTGACCCCTGATCAGAGGCGGCTCTGATTGGGAGATCTGTAACGGCTTTCTGCAGCGGACTTGGGCCGCGATCCCACTGGTACCACTTGCACCATTGGCTGCTTTTCCTTGATCTTCTTTCTTTTTCGCTCTGGCCTGGGGACCTGCACCCTAGAGGTGTATTCGTCCTTGGGTCCCCCCTGTAACTGTTCACCTCCACTGTAGGAGATTGTGAACACGAAAGGGGGTAGGAGCAGAACCCACCCCTCCGCCGAGCCTTCCTGGGAAACCGTGATCGTGCGGGTCCACCTAGGAAGGGGGTCGCAATCCTTAATCCTCCACCCCTCCCCTGAATAGGTACACTTTAAGCTCACGCCTATAAGTGAGCACTTACCAAAAATAGGGATATAGGTTCCCCTAACGGGGCTCCTGGGTGAGTGACACAGGAACCACTCCACGACCACTCGACCAGCAAGTGGCGGTGGGGAGTGCTGTAATTCCTGTGTTTAGGTTGCTCGCCCGGAATAGGTAGGGTACCTGTAACTTCCGTAAAACCACAACAAGACTGATGCCACGGAGAACGACCAAAGCAAATGACAAGGTCAACTGGAAACAGGATACGGGTACGCTCCCTCCAGGGGGGCGTATCCGATAGACGCAAGGAGGAACTGGGCATACTGCTATGTGCCCAGCTAAACATCAAATTCGCCGCCTTGATCGAAACAAAGGACTCATTCATAGTCCTGTGCCTGGAAGAAAAGGATGCAGATAATATGCTCTCTGCCGACTCAACAAAGAAATTAAAAGAACGGGGATTTGAAACAGTAATACCACCACAACTACGTGCAAAAAAATCCGTAGTAATTAAAAGAGTAGACAAAAATATACTGAAAGAAACACCAAGCTACATTGCTAACAATATAGAAGAGAAGAACCCATGGGCCAGAGTTGAGGAGGTGGTGCTAATGCCTGGTGCTCCCACCATGATGAAGGTCAGGTTTGGAGAGATCTCCATGGCACAGAAAGCCCTAGAGAGTGGCCTCTGTATCTCCCACTACCATCTGTCAACACAACAAATTGAGCAGGAGGAATTTTACGCAATAACACCGTGTTGGAACTGCTATAAATACAATCATCTAGCCATAAACTGTCCCCAAAAAGATAAGAAGTTCTGCCCCGAATGTGCAACAGAGGGCCACACATTCAGAGAATGCAGCAATAAAGATAACCCCAAATGCCTGAACTGTAATGGGGACCACCGAACACTAGCAGCGCGTTGTCCCATAAGGAAAGAAATAATCAGGAATCTGAGAGAAAAAGAAAAGTCAAATAAGAAGATGGAAACAGACCCTAACAAGACATATGCAGCAATTGCAAAGCTGCAAGATACCACCTCCAAAGTCCTGAAGAAAGTCAAAGAAAATCCCCTAATGCAACCTACATACCTCAATCTGAGCGAAGGATTAGCTTTCACAATTCTAACCAGTATTATTCATGCACACATCAACAACATTGCAAAACCAGGAGCCTTTGGAAAAACGATCAGGGAAATGTTTGCTGCAAACAATCTGCCGGAGGTGAAATTTCCAGACGACGCCCCCTCAACAGAAATATTTAAAATTGTCACCGAGAGTAGCCTGGGAGTAACCAAACCACAGGAGCACATAACCAAACTAGGCACAGAAGAAAACGTCATGGAAATAGACCCTATCACCCAAGCAGTCACACCACACCGCAAATCATCAGATTCCACAACTCAGCAAACAGAGAAACCACAACCTGCAAAAGCTGACCCAACCAAAGCGAAATCAAGAAAAGAATCCGGAAATTGACCGGATCGAGAAATTCCGTAACGCGAAACCTATTTCCATTGACTTCCATTATAAAACTGGAGATGCGTTCTAAGAATTTTTGCCCAAAAAGTAATTCAGGACTTTTATTAATGAAAATAAACATTTATAAACACATACAATACAGTACATTAAATAATTTATGGTATACCTTCTTAAAATACCAATTTAGGGTTAATATTGCATAATATTGCATTAAACAGCTATGTGTATGTTTATTTGAGTGCCCCGTCACAGGAGTCCGTTTCTCTCGCTTCAAGGCCGCCTGAGTCGTCCGTTTTCTCTTAATCTTAAGAGTGCACCAGGGACTACTGTATTATTTTTTAGTGGTGACACAGAATTTGATATTGCAACTGGGGTTGCAATTGTTGAGGCAACTTAAGGTATGTCTGATTACAGTTGGAATATTCAAGATCCATTGCAGTGATGTTTAAAGCTTCAACTGTCTTTATGGTTGGTAAAACTTGTCAAGTCTGTCAGTCTGAATGGCATGTGTGAGGCCTTGTGTTTGTTAAAATTTACCCCAATTTCCATAAGGGCGGATTTACGGGCCGTAACGCGAAATTATTGGTCATAATTTACAAATTCCGTAACGCGTTTATTGCTGTTTTTCTTATACAATGCTACATGTTCTCGTTTGTGTGCGTGGGCAATCATGTGGGTGTCCCTGGTGTGTGTTCATTCATATTATATGGGTGGATTGTTGCATACATTTATGTGTGGTTTGGTTTGATGTGTTTTTCCACAGACTCTGAGAAGGTGTCTCTCTGTAGGCTAATAATATACCAAATGATAAAAGCTAGTGAACGGCATGTAACCGCCCGCTGGAAGTATTTGGTAACCACTCATGTTGTCGGTCACTAAAACGTATGTTATTCGTAGAGGCTCTCCAGTTATCTGCTGTTTTTTGACCTTTAATCTTTAGCCATAAGAAGAGAAGAACCTTGAGTGGTGAGTAGAGACAACTTAATGAGATATCTCTTCATGGCGTACAAAATGGTCGTCTGTTGTTAGACAGTAATATATTTAGTGATCAATGACGAAGTTGATGACGTTTTTATTACAATAGATCCTAAGGCAGGAGTTAATTGAACGTCATCTTTCATAGGTTGAACCCTGTTGGCTTCCACGTGTAAGAAATGGGTTCAGAACGTAAACAGAAAAACATTATCCTCAATGAAAGTTTCCTCCAAAAGGGTGTATCGTCTTGGTGTCGCTTTAAACACCTACGAGTAACTCTGCTAAAATATTGTTCACTTTTACTAAGGTTTGTCTGATGAACATTGCTAAACATCACGGTCACTATGAATACGAAAATACTAAGCTCTAACTGTACCTCGTGTTAGTCGTCTAGTCGTTCATGTTTACGGCTCGCACAACAAATTTCCTGGTGACTTTTTGAACGGAAAGCTACTGAAGAGGCTAAACTTGTGAACATTTTTGGGGGAATAATTTTCAATCTTGAATTTTTTCCTATTGCACTAAAGGTTTATAAGACACCTACAGTTTATTTATGATTTAGTCAGGTTATTCAGATGGGTCAGGTATTAAGGTTCAGTTAGCCAGGTGGTAGTCGAAGGTTGTGATGACCTTCAAGTAAAGGTCAGAGTTAATGAACCATCTACACACACACACACAAAACAACAAGTGACGACCCTTACCCCCCTTACCTAGTCCTCCCTTCCTTCTCATACCCCCCTCCTCATACCCACCCCTCCTCATACCCACCCCTCCTCATACCCACCCCTCCTCATACCCTCTCATACCCAATTATACTCCAATTCTCAATACCCCCTACCTCTCATACCCACCCCTCCTCCTAATACTATGTAGCGGCTGCGAGGGTCTACAAGACTCAACATACTGAACTTCCCCGGTACTTCCCCCACACCTATTTCATGGTAGACCCGTGTTCTGGACGGCTTTTTTCTTCACTCTTCTGCTACCAAGAGAGAGAGAGAGAGAGAGAGAGAGAGAGAGAGAGAGAGAGAGAGCAGGGTACAAATCACAAGTAACTCCTCAACAGCCAAACATCCTCCTTGGAAATATCATCTCTTGTTACTTAAAAAAAAAATCAAACTTAGAAACATTACAAGAAACATTGGTCACGTGTCACAAACAGACGTCAAGGAGTTTTAATGGTTAGGTTAGGTTAAGAGGAGCACTGGAGTGAGGGAGGTTAGGTTAGGTTAGGTTAAGAGGAGCACTGGAGTGAAGGAGGTGAGATGAACGACGATGACGTATGCTTGCCCAGCCTCGCCTCTGGCCAGTACTTACAATAGGTCAGGTTTTTGCTGAACCGAATACAAGCACCCCATCTCCCACTCCATTCCGCTCCCTGCTCCCTCTCCCTCCGTTCCTCCTGGCCCTCCGTTCCTCTGCCTCCATTCTGCCCCTGCTCCCCTCCCCTGCCTCCGTTCCCCTGCCCTCCGTTCCTCCCCTGCCCTCCGTCCTCTCTCAACCCCCCTCCGTTCCTCCTCCCTGCCCCTCCGTTCCTACCCTGCCCTCTCCTCCTGCCTCCATTCCTCCCTCCCTGCCCCTCCTCTCCCTCCCCTGCCCTCCCTTTCTCCCTCCTTTCTTCCTCCCACTCCGGCCCCCCCCCAGCTGTATCGCTGCGACCTCGAAATTCAGGCTGTTCCTTCTCACTAAACCTGTACCCTGGTCAGGTACAGTTCCTTTCAGAAGTTCGTGGTACACTGGCAGTGAAGGGTGCATTGCCTGTTGTACCCTTCCTGGACGACAGGTCACTGCGCCGACCCTCCCACCAACACACACAGTGGAACTGGCAACGGAGCAGTGTGATTCGAACTAATACTCACCAAACGGAGATGGGAAGGATAATGATATGAATATCCCCCTGACGAGAGAAGAAAACTGTAGTGACAGGAGTATCCATTCGAATATCAGAATATAACAGAGAAATTGGTTTCGAATGAACACCATAAGAAGTAGGTGAACAGAGCTCATATACCAAGTGTCTTCAATGTATTCATTACTTGAAGTTTTTTGTATAATACTCTAGCTATATACAAGTGATAGCGGGCCCCTTCGTGCCCCGTGAAAGTTTGAACGCTCGTGACAGCGTACAGCGAATGAGGGTGCGCCAAGTCCGTAAACTTGCATGGTTAATTAGGGTGCGCCAAGTCCGTAGATTTGCATCGTTTTGCATCGTAAATAAAATGGTTAATTAATGCCTTCCTAAAGAAACCATCGACATGGGACCAGGTTTGTTCCACTCTACGAATTTTTTTGCGATTTTTCCACCAAGTTGATGATAAACGATTGTGCCGTTTCGGCTGCCCAGAACAGACAGACAGACAGACACACGGCTATTCCTATTGTATATTAGATAGCTGTCTCGGCAGAGGAGCGGACCATAGCAGCATTGATGAATGAAGGATAGAGAATGAGAGACCTGCATCATAGTCAAAGTTTAGGTAAAGATTCGGCAAAGCTCGACCACAGAACTATATATTAATATTTATATAGGCAGATAGAGGAATTCTAACCTATGTTTATTAACAGCCAAATTCAGCATCACTATTTGTGGGTAGTTATGAATGGGTAAGGCTAAATTTTGATATTATTGAAATTGGTGATCTATCTGGAAATAATAATCACTGCTGTAACCTTCTTTTAATATTGAAACTATTGTGTAGATTATGTAGTAGAGTTATGGAAGCTGTCATATAAATTCTAACGATGTTTATATTTGAAATGATTTATAGTTAACGTAACCTAGAGTGTCAAAATTATTCTGAATGTGGGTGTGTTGGTAGGGAGAGCAGGAGCACCTTGTAGGACCACCCCCGGCAGATGACGCTACAATTAATCCGGCTGCCGAGGCAATAATGAGACAGCCTGCATACATAAGGTGATTGTTGCTATTAATCGTTTTCGTCGTTGTGCTACTGCGTCACCCTGAACAAGACATCCCGGGAAGAAGTTTTTTTTACACAGTGTCAGGGCTCAAGCTCCTCCCAGTGTACCCAACCGTGTGGATAAAAAAGTAGTCCCATAGTGGCTGACATACTAGCTATATTATTTCCCATCTTGTTACCTGACAGTCTTGGCAATACATTTTATTAGCTTTAGATAATGAGGTAAATATTGTAAACCTTTTGTTTTTATTGATATTTTGTGATGGGAATTAATGTGATAATGATAAATATTGCTTTGTTTCACTGGAGACGTCGTTTACCATCATAAGATATCCAAATTTGATCTAAAGTTGGCTAGCAAGCGTTTGATGGGGTTTGGTTTGGTTTGGTTTGGTTAGGTTAGGTTAGGTGAATGTAAGCATAATGGTGGCTGTTTTCACCTTAAAGTTCCGTTTGTCCCTACGAACATTATTTGATCCACATAATTTTTTTCTTTATTTTTTATCCCTCGTAATTCATAATTGTTGATAGTTACGTACTTAAAAAAAAAAACCTTAGCTGTTGACGTGCAGTAATATAATATCAACACAAGTGACGTGAATGTAGCGGGAGTAACAATTTCGTCACTACAGTCATGACGCCACTACAATGGACGAACTCCTAAGCTCCCCATTGACTAAAGTACGCATGACGTCAGAGTGAGGTAAGGATGACCACATTAGTTACCGTTTGTGTTAGTCGCTACACCTGACGACCAGTGTGTGTGTGTGTGTGTCAGTCAGTGTGTCCTCTGCTACCGTGAACTAAGCCACTTCACCTCACGCTCCAGGAGAGGTTTGTTTTGGTGTATTGTAATTCCTTCAAACTACTGATATTCTCTCTCTCTCTCTCTCTCTCTCTCTCTCTCTCTCTGCCGTGCTGAGTTGAAAAATAATTCCGTAAATAACAACAAGTTTGATTTAATAGACCGGTGCACTATATCAACAAACTGTGACGTGTGTGTGCGTGACGAAGAACCAGTGCTGACGTAAGGTGTGGACGAAAAAAGATTAAAGCTTAAGAAAAAAGAAGATAAGCGTACTATATATGTGTTGTGGTGATGAGACAAAGCTGGGTAGGTGGGTGTGGGTGTAGTGTGGGTGTAGTTGGGGTGTAGGTGTGGTGTAGAGATTATACTGTAGACAGGTGATAATGATGGTGGGGTGTGGATGGGTCATTAAAGTCATCCTACAGGTTAATTATACACAGGTAACACAGGTAAGATACGTGATAGTGATGTTATAGTGTGTTAATATCCAGTTCTCCGGATAAGGGTATGGGGGTAAGGGAGAACTGAGAGATTAATGATGAATATAAGGCAGGATAAGGGAGATAAGGATAGGATGAGAGACCATTGTGATGTAAACAGACAAGGGGGGAAAGGGAGGGTGAACAAGGGTGAAGGAAGGGTGGACAAGAGTGAGAAGGGTGAAGGAAGGGTGGACAAGAGTGAGAAGGGTGAAGGAAGGGTGAACAAGAGATGATGGGATAGAGAAAATTTTTGACATATATTAAAAAAATAGGATCATCTGAAGATTCGTCTCCCAGTTTATTTCACCTTAAGATTAACTACTCTAATGCCATGCTAACCTAACCTAATCTAACCTAGCCTAATCTAATCTAACTTCCTCAGGTCATATTAGGTTCTTTAATCATCAGACAGACAGATAGATAGATAGATTGAAACATGAGTTATTTTTAGATGAACATAATGCAGAAGTGTGTAAAGAGAAAGAGAGTGAGAGAGAGAGAGGTGGGACGGGCGACATTGTTTTGGATACGGTTTCTGCTGCCACGAGCGACATTGATCACCTGAACACACACACATACACACACACACACACACACACACACACGCGCGCGCTAAAAATCGAGCATGTAAATAATAATAAGGTTCCATCTTGTAAGACTGGTGGTTACTAAAATATTCAAGCCAATAAAACACTCGTCTGAAAGTCTTTTACCAATATAACCATTAGCGTTGATAAAGGTGATGAAAGGAATAGCAAGAGTCTAGTAATCAACCTAATACTTAGTTGTGTTCAGAGCGTTTGGTCGTTCCCCGTCTGTCACGATTACGACTTCGCTACTTCTACTCGTTATATATTACGACCTCGCTACTTCTACTCGTTATATATTACGACCTCGCTACTTCTACTCGTTATATATTACGACCTCGCTACTTCTACTCGTTATATATTACGACCTCACTACTTCTACTCGTTATATATTACGACCTCACTACTTCTACTCGTTATATATTACGACCTCACTACTTCTACTCGTTATATATTACGACCTCGCTTCCGCCTATATAGTTATATATTACGACTTCCTTCTACTTCTCGTTATATAATACGACTTCGCTACTTCTACTCGTTATATTACGACCTCACTATCTCGTTATATATCACGACCTCGCTACTTCTACTCGTTATATATTACGACCTCGCTACTTCTACTCGTTATATATTTTGACCTCTTCTTTCTACTCGTTATATATTACGACCTCATACTTCTATAAATTATATATTACGACCTCGCTACTTCTACCCGTTATATATTACGACCTCCTACTTCTACTCGTTATATATTACGACCTCACTACTTCTACTCGTTATATATTACGACCTCACTACTTCTACTCGTTATATATTACGACCTCACTACTTCTACTCGTTATATATTACGACCTCGCTACTTCTACTCGTTATATATTACGACCTCGCTACTTCTACTCGTTATATATTACGACCTCGCTACTTCTACTCGTTATATATTACGACCTCACTACTTCTACTCGTTATATATTACGACCTCACTACTTCTACTCGTTATATATTACGACCTCACAACTTCTACTCGTTATATATTACGACCTCACTACTTCTACTCGTTATATATTACGACCTCACAACTTCTACTCGTTATATATTACGACCTCACTACTTCTACTCGTTATATATTACGACCTCACTACTTCTACTCGTTATATATTACGACCTTTTACTGATCACTTATTTTCATTTCCACTTTATATCAGAGATTCTAACCCCTTTACACACACGCACCACCATGTACCTTGATACTAGTAAACCATTAATGAAATGGTAACACAGGGTGGATGACGAGTACGGATGATGACACAAATCTGCGAGGAAGAATGGGTAAGAATATAAAGAAAGGTGAAGTATGAGAATAAGAAGATAAGAATATAAATAAGGAAAACAAAACAATTCGTACAATCGCACTAAAATTCTGAACCGAATTTAATACAGTGGTAGACTCAGTTAAGATACCAATACATGCGAGCACATACACACACACACACACACACCCACACACACACACACACACACACACACACACACGCACACACACACCACCTGTATTATTAACAACACCTGGCCTCTTATGACCTCGACCCACGACACAGCTGTAGTTAGAAGGTCGCTCATGATGTTGTTGTTTTGTGTAGCGTTTGTTTAATGTAGTCCTCAGCCAGTTAATAATCTATTACTTTAGGGTAGGGTTTTTTTCCCAGACTGGTTATGTACTCTTGTCTCAGCAAGGTTGTCAAAATCCTTCGTTCTTTGGGTCACTTTGCATAACACAAAATCGTTTAAGATACTTTTTTGAGTGAGTGTACAACGACGGCGGGTCTGCGGACACTCCTCCCCAGTGCTGGAAGAGAGACAGAGAGAGACAGACAAGTGCTTATTCCTCCTCAATATACTGTTGCACCACATCCTTCATCCTCCCTCTTGCCAATATCCTCTGACCAGCTAGACTAAGGGCGTCTCTGTTCCCCAGAATGCGCTAAACACCCCGAGATGGGCTCCTGCAACAGTAAAAATAGTGAGGACAGTTCCCTGCTGGAGACACTGGCGGACCACACCGACTCCATCAACTGCATGACCATAGCTGACGACGAGTCGGTCCTGGTGACGGGGTCTGAGGACAAGACGGCGAGGATGTGGACCACTCAAGACCCTGACGGCTCGGAGTGTCTGGGTACCCTGGAGTGAGTGTTGACGGTTCTCTTGTTGTATTACTGCACTTCAACAGCAAAAGTATTTAAACGTATTCGAGGTTAGTGCATAACACTAGTTAACAACAATTTAAATACTACAGTTTTGATTCTAAAGTTCATTACATATACTGTAAAATTATTCACTATCACCAATTGCTCAGGAACAACAACCTTTTAAATTTTACCTGCGGGGTCCAGGTAAATAAGAGTATAATTAAGCCAATTAAGGGTATGTTGTATCACCTCAGAGGCCACACGGGGTACGTGACGACCGTACATGTGTTTGACACCATCATCATCACGGGGTCCAGCGACAAAACCATCAGGAAGTGGGACATGACGACTTGTGAGTGTGACTTCATCTATTCAGGTAAGTAACACCTGTCCCCGTCCGTCACACCTCACATGATCTCCACTACTCTCACTAACAGGACATATTACCCTGTCGTCTCTTCCCGTGACTCATTAAACCACAACCAACAAGGAAATCAATGTTCATAAAATAATCGATATCGTGTCATAAGATCGCAATTCAGCGTCGTAAGAGAGTATCCACTTAGTCAAAATGTATCCAAATGATATTTTCGTATTCACACTGGGAACACTGCCCTCACTGAGCTCCTCTCAGTCCCAGACCTCCATAAAATATCTGTGTGAAGGTGTGGAACAACTTACTCCCACCCATCCCAGCAAAGACTACGCTCCCTTCTTTAATTATCTCTTAAAAAATATCTATTGTCTAAGTAACACCTACTTCATATTCTTACTTTTACTGTACCACCAAAACCATTATATCATATATTGTCATGTAAATAGATTAGAATTACCTTTGCAATAATTATATATCTGCCGTCAAAACATGATATTGACTGCTTCTGTCCTCCTATTCCACCCATGTACTGCTTCCCTCCCTTATCATATTAATGTATATCAACTCCACTGTAAAATATGCATATATACTGTACTTATAAATGTAAAAACAAAATAAATAACTAGTGATAACCGTGGTAGTATTCCCATATGTTCTTATTACCACCATGCTATGTGTACTATTCCAGATGATACTAAATGTTACATAATACTTCCTTGAGATAAATGTATAGTATATATCAGGTGCCACTAAGAGAGCTCAAGCTCCCAATTGGCTCAGCTAGGTTAATATTGTTATTATTGATTCTGTATCTGTATTTTCTGCTAAATAAACTGTATCAATATCAGCAACAGCCATGATACACGGCCTTGGTCCCTCCCCGACAGGTCACACAGCAGAGGTGATGCAGGTCATCTGTACCGGCGACTACATCATCAGCTCCGCCAAAGACAAAACCGCCAAGATTTGGATCTTCGACACGGACGATCTAGAAGAGGGTGAGGAAGAGAAAGCCTGTATCCGTACCTTTAAGGTGAGTACTGTAATGTCTTGTGAGGCCATAGTTTACTTTAGTATTTCCAAGCTAACCTGGCCCGTAAGCCACGCCCCTCTTCTATATTAATAGCTGATTGGTTCATAGAAAATTCAAACTAAATGTGTTAACAATTGGTAAGCAGATCTGTTATTATCTAAAATAATGTTGAATATCTGAACTATCAAAATGCAAATGATTTAAAGGCATTAGCACTTCAGAGAGGATGTTAGAAATTTGTAAATATTTATCATGAAAGGTCGATATAAATAGGCGCTTATACACGCGCAGTCCGGGGGAAATAAATCGCTCAGGGAACCAATCAGCTATTTGTAGCTATAGAAGAGGGCGGGGCTTATGGGCCAGGTTACCGTGGAAAGGTAACACTCCTCACTTCAAACCAACTATGCACGGGATCCCCTCAAAACTGAATACAATCATCTCGTTAGAATCAACACATATTGGTGCATGGAAGGCGTCATGTTGGCCCCCTACAAGACTAACATCACACAAGGTACCACGTTAACCCGACACTCCCCACACAGGGACACCTCAAGACGGTACACCCACTCATCTACATCCCCTCTGATCCTGAGAAGGGGGAGGAGGAGCTGGTCATCACGGGCAGCACAGACCACACAGCTCGCTTATGGTCCATCGACAGCGGGTCTTGTCTTCAGGTTAGGTACTCGCTCACCTGGTCTACCTGAGTGAGTGATTAGTATCGGTCAGTTATCAAAACCCTCAAAGTATTATGATTTAACCCCATGAGTACGTTGGTGTTAGCCCCTTGAGTACGATGGCGTTAACCCTTGAGTACGAGGGCATGTATACAAACTCTCAGTCACTCCAGAAGTTGTATGTCTAGCCAAAAAATTCACATCCCTCGAAACGCTGTTCACGATGAGGGGGTAACATGGAGGCGACTTTACCTGCGTCATTATCGAGGTGTGTGTGTGTGTGTTGCAGGTGTACAAGGGCCACACGGGATCTATTATGACCATGGCGACGGACCTTGACGCCAGGATCCTCTTCACAGGCAGCACCGACTCTACCATCAGGTCTTGGGACATCAGAAGCAGCAGGCTCTTGAAGGTGTGTGTGTGTGTGTGTGTGTGTGTACTGTAGCTGTGTCAAGCAGTACATTATCCTCATCATCATCATCCTTCTCTTTAACTTCATTATTATTTTATTCATTATTAACATTGTCATTTTATTCATTATCAACATTGTCATTTTATTCATTATCAACATTGTCATTGTCTTCATTATCATAATTAACTTCATCATTACTTTCATTGTCACCATCGGCTTTATCATCATCTTATCAATCAATATTCAATGAAATTTTCCTCAAACGCTTTCACCATTTTTTTTTACGGGATTCGCTCACCCAGGCACAAGTCACCAACCCACATCGAGACCCTGCAATTGTGTGTAAATGAGGCAGAAAGACAGATCAGTAACTCTGTTTGATAGCTGCCTACTACCTACTACTTTCATGTCTTGAACATCTGAAACTGTTATTGTTATTCTTTTGTTTACTTGTTATCTTGTTGTAGTTGTTCATTACTTTTATCTTGTTGTTTTATTGTTTAAGTTGTCATCTTGTTTTTATTGTTATTGATTTATTGTTGTTATCGTGTTCTTGTTTATGTTGATAATTATTACTTATTCCTGTTATCCTGTTATTAGTGTTCTCATCTACTTGCTGCTGCTGCTGTTGTTATAATTATGACCCCCTCTCCCCCTCTCCCCTCTCACAGATATTCTCAGGCCACACTACTCCCATCATGTGTCTGTCTGTGGTGAATAAACTCATGTACACTGGAGACACGGCAGGTGTAGCTAAGTGCTGGGCGTGGAACTTCGGCGACTGCACCAAGGAGTATAAGGGTCATAAACACTCTATCACCTGTCTCAAGTTCTTCAAGGGCATCTGTAAGTCTTGTTTAAGTCTTTTTGATTCACGTGTAGTTCGAGGAAATGTTTTGATTATGGTCCTAAGCTAGTTTAATGTAACCTAACCTAACCAAATGAAATGAACTCGAGTGGCTAAAATCTTCAGGTGATTCTAAAAAATAAAAATTATCAACACATCAAATTCAAATAAAAATTAAAGTATAACCAACAAATCTAGACGAATTTAATCACCAAATATCACAACTTTCTCAAAATATTCATAAGTTAAACGAATCCTCACCCAGCATCCTCAAAAAGAAAAATCAAATAATAATCACTTGTTTTCATCGTAGTGTATACTGGATGTGGTGATGGTGACGCTAGGGCCTTTGAAGCCAAGAGCGGGTTACTGACAAAGACCTTCAAAACTAAAGAATCAGCTGTCGTCATCAACTGCCTGGGTCTCTGTAACCACAAACTCTTTACGGGAGGCAGGGACGGCAAGCTCAGAGTCTGGGACATTACCAAGACTGAGTAAGTATGGGAGGCGTTGTGTAGTTGATGGATTGTGTGAGAGTTAAAGATGAGGTGAGTATATATGATAGAGATAACGAAGGAATGATAAATGACACACGTAGAGAGAGACAAGAACTAGGTAATATATTAGATCAGTCCTATCTATTAAAATATATTAACCATATTACATAGATATATACCTTCCTTTATAAAATTTTTTTTAGATATATTAACACTAAGGAATTTTCTTTTTCAGTGGTGTTGAATGTTCCTAACCATCGAGTGAACAAGAAAAACCCGCAGACGTTCACATGAGGATGGAGATAAGTTTGTTTTTGTATTATTATCTCCACTGTCTACTACATCTCCGCCCCCAACTATTAACCAAGATAGTATTTATATATATATCCATCCTTCTCTCTCCTTACCTAACGCAGTATACCAACACCTCCCTCACTCTCCCTCGATTCCTTTGCGTCGTAACTGTGGTATTTATTCTTTTCTGTTGTTGATTAATGCTCAATATTACCCGGCAGTGATACTATATATACCGGTCCTGTACCGTGAGCTCAGTACTGTGGTGCCACCTAGATGATATGACTAGAGATCTTTGTGTTTTGTATATATTATAAATCTATACAGTCAGCCACAGAAATAAGTACACATTTAAGGTTCGTGTTAGGGACAAATTATCTGGTAACACTGTCTTGAACAACACTGATAAAAATACAGTGACCAGTAATTTATGTTTTATATTTACATCTGTGTTATAAGTAATTTGTTGTGAATATTTTATAAGTGTCTTGTGTTTGTATTATAAATATATTGTGTCGAATGATATTAAGCTTGTTGCCGAATGGGATTGCAGTTGTCTTACGGCTCCCTCCTTTCCCTCCTCAATTCTGTCCCCTCTCTCTTAACCTGCCCTACCTCCTTTCCTTCCTTATGAGAATGTGCTAGGGAGGGTGGAGATAGAAAAAGGAAGGGAGGTGAAGACGGGAGGAAAAAGAAAGGGGGGGGGGTGGGTGCCGAATTCATCTGGCGTCTGGAAGCGCAGTTTGTTTTACCAGACCATTTACGGACCTTAACAGCTACTTATTCCAGAGGCCGACTGTTCTCTATGTCTCGATGTTCCTTAGTTTTTGTTTTCTGATGACTCACTGTCTTGATGTATGAATTACGTATATGTAACTTATTTATATTTTCTTTGTAGTGTAGCGAAACGTCTTATTCAATCAGCATCGTCTTGTTTTCTGTGAATATGTCTCTTGCTGTCTCATTTATATCGCAGGGTCATAAATAATCTTATAAACTACAGTATGTCATCGAAATTTTGCACCACTTTGACATATCGTCTCGGAAATCAATACCATCCAATAATGAACCTCAAGTCGCTATTATTACTACTATGAAGGTTTATAAAATTGACAAATTAGAAATGGTACTACTACCTTGAGTACGATGACTGTGTACTGTACTCTGGGGGTTAAGTCATCGTACTCATGTGGTTAACTAATAATTATATTAAAAACAAATGAAAATCTATTATTATTGTCATTTGTCTCTCTTTTTCTCTAAATTAAAGAAAAAGTTAAGTTTATTCAATGACAAACTGATCATCAGATGTTGTGAGGTATTGACACATATAACCTTGGCACCTGAAACACCTTTAATTAAAATCACACATATTTACACCAGAAATTGAATATATTTTAAAGGAATAGTAATAACCTAAGTCTTCCAACTCTCTAAAACAAGATTGAAAGTTAATGAGAAAATTACTGCATAGCAATTGTGAAGTGTATCAGCGTTTGTGAAGTGTATCAGCGTTTCTTTAAGGCCAGTCTAATAGGCCAGTATTTTAACCATTGTCAATTTCATCAATATTCCTTATAAACAGCTTTGATATTTAACTATAACTTGGTACTTTGTATCGTATCTTATTCTGTGCATCAGTCACGTCACTCACTTCCGTCCGTCCGTCCGTACCTTTAGTAATATAAGAAAAGTTTCATGGACTGAGGTGAACTATGGATGTGACTGACCAAAGCTCACGTTGATAATGATATTTTTATGTAAACATGACCCCTGTTCAACTTTTAAATATATCTAGTCACTAGATAATCACTAGAATCTAGTCCTAGTGTTTATTGAAGTAATAATCTAAAATTGTCATTTACGTGCTACCAAGACACACTTCAGATTCACGTACAGTAGCCTGATGGGTTACTGTGTACTGTAGGATCGATGTTTGGTTCACTTTTGTTTTACTTATGCAAGACGACAGTAACTTGACATACACTCAAGTGGACTAGGCTGGCCATAAGTGCCTCTGTTTATTATATATTCATTTTGTTGCAAATTATGTGATCTCATCGTTCCAAGTCTATTAGTCTTAGTCAATGATAATGTTGCTGTATCTGTGGTCAGTAAATATATTAATTTCTTAATGAAAATTTTATTTTCCTATACAGTGATGATATTAACATAATGGTTAGTTGTGTAGCGTGACCCATGATCATATCTAAGCGTCCTAATATTGAAAAAGTTAATAAAAATACTAATACTGTAATAATATTAAGATAAACTGAAATATATTTTAATAAATTTTTCAACTCAAGAGCAATTCCTCATATTTTTTTAATGTCTTTCAAAGTCCAGGCATAAAACCGTGCTGGCATTGCTTTACAAAGTTGTTTCGTGGTCTCAGTAAGTTGGTCAACCAAGGATAAACCAAGAAAGACCTTAAAAGCTTTTTATCTCCACTTGTATTAACAGTATATGTGTGTAAACGTGTAATATGGGAGATACAGCACATTAGGTTAGTCTCCCTCAACAACTGTGTTCGTTTTCTCTGGTTGCATTTTCCAAAATCTACTGGAATTGCAGGTCCGTGTTCCAGAACTTGTCATGTGAATGTGGCAAAAAATTTAATTTATTACAAAAGAAAACTGTCCCATGATCTTTATTTTAGTTATCTCTTAAAATGAAATATAGAAAGCGTAAACTTCTGAGAAAATCTTTTTGGGATAACTATCTTGTGTAGGCAGTTCTAGCAGAGGTAGATAGTGTAGTTAGTTTCTCCCCACAAACGCTGTTTGTCGCTGAGTAGCCGACCCAAGAATTCCACAGTGTGTGCCTCGTGGTCTAGGTCAACCAGCGCCGCCATACATCACGGAGCAGGGGTCAACTACTAAGCCACGCCTACCCCTATTTAAGCCTGACCTCGTGGTGACCTGTCTTCTTTCTACCTACACCAACCAGCCACAACACCTCCTCCCTCCGCCTGCCTGGCGGTCCCGCTCCCGCCGGCGACCATGGCGACCACAAGCTGGTCCTTCTCTGAGCGTCCTCACCAACCAGCTCTCTCTACTCAACACTTGTAACCATGCTGCCTTCCCAGCACCAAGCTGCATTGTACATCAATACAACATGTATAGAGAGCACATTTGTGAGGTTTCCTTTCTCCATTCCATCCTGAGTGTGAACCAAACATCCTGAACCCCACAAATGGTGACCCCGGAGATTCGCACTCACACAGGATGGAGGAGAAACTGATCACGCTCCCAGTCTTCAAGCAACATGGAAGACTGGCTTATCCACACAGAAGCAGCTCTCATCGGTTCTACAACTACTGTCTCTACACCGCAGGTTAGACACCCTAGAGCAGCACTGCTTCTCTAAGCAGACACCTCTTCTTAAAGATCTCGTGCCTTCTTGGTGATAGATCAACAAACAGAGAACTTAGCTAACACGTTGTCATCTGAACCGGAGTCTTGAGAACACTGGTTGAAAAACAAGAAATCTTCATTGCATCTTGGGAAGAGTGTCGAGCCAGCCACATGAGGCAGAGACTGAACCTGGTCGATCTTATAAAGGAAGAATCAGATACAGAAGACCTTAAGGCAAAAAGTTAAAGAAATCCTTGAGGCAGCGGTAGAGGAATGTTTACCCCGGAAGTCAATGAAGAGAGAAAGTATTTCGAGATGGATGAATGACAAAAGCCAAGAGATCCACCAAAACACAACACCGCCGACGGGGAAACAAAAACAAAATCCAAGGCCAAAACGACTATGTGGAGTGTGTAGCATACAGAACCTAAAGGGTGTCCACACAACAAGCTGTTAAAAAGAGACACCGAGAAAAATTTATCACACAATATAAAAAAGTACATCCTTTTATACATTTTATGAGATGGATGAAAACAACGAGTCTTTGAGGGACGACAAGCAGACAGCAGACGTCACATGATCACTTTGCATCAGAATTCATATACAAGAGACGAGGATAACATGCCAGTGCTTAGAAGAATGGATACCTCAAGCGGCTGATGATGAATTAAACTTGATAGTAGTCAGTAATCACAAACATAACATATCGGTAAAACCAGTGAACAATTTAAAAAAAAAAAGTTTGGTAACCATGCGAGTGTAACCCATAAATAAGGCGAATGTCCGAGTGAATGAGAGCGGTGCAAGACGAGTTGATAAATGTACGTGATATACTGTACATATCAGAAGACTAAGCATGGGTGAATCGGGTAATGTCTCAAACACAGAAGAGAAAGGAAGAAAAATTAGTCATATTTGCTTAGAGACGAGAGATTATAATAACACGGAACAATTGAAAACAGAAAATATTAATGATTTTATTGACCTTACCATCCACCAAATAATAACAATAACACGAAAAGTTATACCATCAAAATAAGATCAACAACTTAAACTACACTGAAAATCCTTCTGAAATCTTGGCTCCAGTGAAGGAAAACAAAATCTCGTATACATAATGTAATGGTCTTAGCAGGCGCTGAGGCTCGTAGTGTTAATAAACTTTACGGTGGGAGAAAAAAAATGTTGAGTTGTGGAAATTAAATAAGATATAGAAGTCAGTGTGTATGATGATGGATTGCAGAGATGGCGATGAACATTTGGTAAGAGAAGCAAAATAGATGAGAAGAGATGTATTACGAGTCTGCTTGTCTCAGTAGAGGGATGAAAGATGTGAGAGGAGGAAGACGTAGAGCAACATGCTGTAGAGACGACATAGGTTTGAATGAAGGACCAACAGTCTCCGCCCACACATCACCTCCACCAGCTGTTGACTATTAATACTCGGCTGTAATTTATGTTAATATGCGAATAAAAAAAGTTATGAAGCAAGAGATAAGATTTATTTATTTTATCTTATTTACATAATGTTCACCCAAACTAGAGTTGGCCACGCCGAGGGGAGAAGGTCAATGGTTGTGTAAGATCTCTCTAGTGTTCTGAATGGTCTTGTGCGGGACTGTTTTGAAGCCCAGTACTGTTCTCTTTCTTGAATTTTATATGTTGATGACTGGTGTATTTACTAACCTAGAATACGCTCTAAGAGACCTTAGTTGTTGAAGCGCAGTAATTACATTATAAACATGAACAGTTGAGACGTACCCTGGCGGGAAGGTCATAAACTCAGCAGCGGGGGAAGAGTTACAACTGTCATCCAGCACACTCGCCAGGCCCGGGTGTGGTGGTGCCGGGACGTCTGTGTAGGAAATGCATTATGTTATGGCTGGACCTGGACCCACAGTGGAAGGGGACAAGATCCTTGTGAAAACAATTAACTTAACCAATCTCTTTACAACCAGGCAAAGTTAACGCAGGCAAGGAAAAATAGAAAGAATAGGTCTTTAATTTTTCCAGTTTATTTAGTAAAGACCTTAAGAGTTAGTGAACGATACTTAAAGACCCTAGCAGCTGAAGCACCTACAACCCATTAAAACAACAACAACGAGAGACAATTGTCTGACAGTAATGGTCATTCATGAAACTGTTTCCTCTGGCGCAGTGAATGAGTTGAGTCTCCCCTTCTTTACATGTTGTTTTCTTTCCTCTTTCACTGTCTACACACCTCCCCGAGCACGAGTCCTCCTCTAGAACTACAATCTAAGTCTGGTGTAAGTCTAGACTAAGCTGAGAGACACAATAAGTCCAGCTGCCAGTGTTCCCGGTGGCCAGGTCCCCCCTCAACTGCTTGACTCTCTCCGCCAGCCCAGACCGGCTCGCGTGCCAACACCCGTCGATAAAACTGCGACGCTCCAGTTCATGTTACGGACTTTATACTTGAAGGGAGGAGAAAGTAAGATAGTGTTGTTAGTGGCGGAGGAGATGACTGAAAGCATCTAACACTTTGGCCTGAGATACACGTTGATCAGCCTCCAGCACCAGTGAACACATTAACCGTGCAGGTGTCAAGACATCAGTTCTCGGGGCAATATTGCAACAATAGTCGTGGTACGGGAACTGTTAGCTGGCCAATAGTTGTCTTCATTTTCATTGGCCAGGTGGACCTTATGTATGTTTCTGGCGAGCACCAAAGCACTGAATGTTGAGTTTATTGACAATATTATTATTATTATTATTATTATTATTATTATTATTATTATTATTATTATTATTATTATTATTATTATTATTATCATTATTATTATTATTATTATTATTTTATTATTATTATTATTATTATTATTATTATTATTATTATTATTATTATTATTTGATGAAGCAGAAGAATACAAAATAATATAAAAACTAATGATCTGTACAGTATTCAATACATGGTTAGGAAAATACTGTGATGAAGTGACTAGTTGGTGACCAGGTGACGTGACAGCCTGGCAGGTGACGTGACAGCCTGACAGGTGACAGTCTGATAGATCACATGACAGATGCGCCTGAAACTTTATTTTTTATCATGGTGGACGAGGATGACTCCGTCCTCAACAGAAGTGACAAGTTACCATCCATCACCTGTGAGTGACGGAGGTTGAGGTGATGACGTCCCTCAACTTTCCCTCAATAACAAGAACTTTTCCTCTTCTACAACAGTTCTACAGACACTCGGCACTACAGGTGTGTTGTGTACCTGTGTGTATGGTGGCGTAATGCTCTGGGTGTACACAGTGGCTGGTGGGAAGGTCTCGCTCCAGTAGCCACGACCTTCTGTTATATCGTGAGGTTCTCTTATGACAGCAAGTTACCTTTACCTGTATATATGTGAGTGCGTGCGCAGGAAGTTAAAAGAATTATCCAAGAAGTTTACGTGAAGGTAAAAGTGTAAAGGAAAGATAGAAATGTATAAATGTCCTCTTGCTGTTTCAGGCATGTTAAGTAAATTATTATGCTCGTAAAACTATATACAATTTGTGGTCAACAGTCATTCTCAGGCGTTGGGAGGCTGACGCTGAGGCTGACACGTCATGCTGACGTCATCACTGTAAACAACAATAATGAATATGATTGGAAATTAATGTCCAGTGCAATCTGCATTTAGCCGCTAAATGGGCCGTAAAATGCGATTTACATCTCATTTGCATAATCACAGATGATATAATTAGGCTGCCTAATTCTTGAAAAGACATTTTCTTTAAAGACTTTTAAAGTGTGTCATTAATTCATTTAGTGGTACGCTGTCAAAGGCAGGTGACCCTTCTCCTGGCCTTACCTCTCGAGTCCTCACCCTCGCTGGGATGACGACTACACATTTTCTCGACTGATGACTAGTTTAAGCCCTTACTCCCGTGATCACAAGTACTGGTGGGCCGGGGCATGTTATTATTATATTGTGGAAGGTGTGAGTGACGGGGGGAGGACGGTGGGGAGGCAGGTGTGATTAATTTGGGTTTACATAATGGTGTAGTCATATACCTTGAGTTACCTGGGTGAGTAAAGGTGTGTGTGGAGGGTTCTGTGTGTCGTGTGAGTAGAAAGTATCAAAGTTTATATACTCACGCTGATATATTAAACCTGGAAACAATGTAAATGAAGAAATTCTATAATACCACATAAATCCGAAACATTGAATGAAATGCTAATTAAGGATGAAATCAAAACTGAATAAGGATTTTTCATTTATTTTTCCTAAGTTCTCAGTCAATATCTAAGACTCATTATATCATTAAGAATCAACAACAATATCAACAGTGAGGAAATCCTTGAATGGAAGTCCCACAAAGTCCTGTAACGATGGCGTGAATCATTCCTCAACATGATAGGCTTTTCACAATAGTTCACGGAAGAGTTGATATTTGTGTACTGTTTTGAAGCTCCTTTTAAACAGGTAGAATGGAAGGTTGATGTTAAGTGTATTACCCAGTAGAAGAATATATAATGACAGACCCTAAGTTGTTGAGCCTAGTTCCTTGTACCAAGACTATCATTAACATTACACGAGTTGAATAGCTTTTTTTTTTTTTCGTTTTCAGTTTTATCTTTGTTGGGAAGCTATGGTGGTATAAGACACCCAGTTAAGAGGGTTTATTTTCCTTGTGCATTGTAGCCTTTGAAGTGTTGCTGGTTGTCGCCTCCGTCATAATTGTCGTCGATGAAGTTGTTATTTGGTCTCCCGATGTCGGCGTTGAATCCATAGAACTGAGGAGCTGAGGAACAGTCGACGTTGAACCACCAGTCACACACGAAGTACTGTTGGTTGAAGACGGTGCCGATGGGACAGAGGAAAGAGTCCATTCTGCCATCATCTTGACATACGTGGAACGCCTGCACGAGAGAAGGAACAGGTTGTAATTGGTTAACTGATGAAGGAATGAGGCTACTCGACTCAGAGATAAATAGTCATTGAAGGCGATTCTTAGTTTTAAAACGTTTAGGTGAATAATGTTTACTGAAACTGTTTAATGGGTGATTAATATGAAAGTCTCCGAGTTTTGGATTATCACCTGACCACAGACTCACCTGACAGCGAGCAGCGGGGTCAGTGTCGGCGTAGTAACCCGGCAGAGAGTCACAGACGAAGCCAGTGAAGGGAACGGAGGCCAGCAAGAGGTAGTCCTGACCGGGGGTCCCTGGGATGGCGTCCAGGTTGTTCTGTCCCCCGAAGTTGCCGTCGCCGCCACTGTACCCGCCTCCACCACCACCCCCGCCACCACTGTACCCGCCTCCACCACCACCACTACCTCTACCACTTGTACCGACCACTCCACTAGTAGTACTGTAACCACCACTGCCTGACCCTCTGTTACCGCTGAAGACACTGTCCCCTCTCGCGGTGTTGATCTGGAACTTCTTATCCCTTCTGCTACCACCACCACGACCGCTGCCCAATCCGCCTCCACCACCACCCCCGCCACCTGCACCACCACCACCGCTGCCCAACCCGCCTTTTGTGCCAAACTTAACACTTCCCCGGAAAGGTTTTTGGGTACTCTGATTAACTCCGTGACTATTGAACACACTCTTGTCTCCACTGGAATCAACAAAACCTCCACTGCCACTTCCAGAGTAACCTCTTCCACCTCCTCCACCGCCGCCACTAAACACACTGCCACTACTGCCTCCACCGCTGACATATCCACCGTCTCCACCATCAACCACAGATCCACCAAAACTATTAATAATTCCACCATCACTGACTGTGTTTCTGTCACCGTAACTACTACCACCACCTCCACTACCTCCTCCTCCGCCACCACCTCCTCCACCACCTCCTCCTCCACCACCGTGACTGAAGAAGACGTCACCACCTCCACTGCCATGGTCACTCTGACCCCCAGAGCCTCCACCACTTCCTACACTGTAAACATCAGAGCCACTACCACCACTACCACCACCTCCACCGTGACTCCTAGAACCACCACCTCCACTATGACTACCAGAGCCAAAACTACCACCACTACCACCACTATAACTAACAGAGCCACCACTACCACCACCTCCACTATGAATCCTAGAACCAAAATTACCACCACTATGACTACCAGAGGCACTACCACCTCCTCCACTATGACTAACAGAGCCAAAGCTACCACTACTGCCAGAGCCAAAACTACCACCACTACCACTACCTCCACTATAACTACTAGAGCCAAAACTACCACCACTACCACCACCTCCACTATGACTACCAGAGCCAAAACTACCACCACTACCTGCAGAGCCAAAACTACCACCACTACCTGCAGAGCCAAAACTACCACCACTACCACCACCTCCACTATAACTACTAGAGCCAAAACTACCACCACTATCAATCCTAGAACCAAAATTACCACCGCTAATATGATTCACAAACCCTCCACTACCGCCTCCTCCCCTCACGCTATTACTAAGGAAGCCTCTGGCGGTTCTCACAAGGTCCCCTGTACTGGCGGTGGCGATGTTGTCGTCGATGAAGCCCTTTCCTCCTCCAGTCATCCTGCTGACGGTGGTGAGTACCTGAGAACTCGCTTCCCCATCTAGGCTGACGAAGGCATTATCGTTGCTGCTGGTGCTGGTATTAGGAGGAACATTATGACTCTCTTCCTCCTTCAGGTTGACTCTGATTAGTACCTGTGAACTTTCTCCCTCCTCCAGGTTATCGTAGTCCTCGTCGTCAGTTATCTTGCTGACTGTGGCGGGGAGGACTGTGGTGCTCTCGTTTTCTCTCTGGCAGACGGGGAGGATGGCCTTGGTGGCGCCTTCCTCATCCTTCTTAGTCTTCAGGATATCTGCGCCGGCCCATCCTGCCAGTGCTCCTGTAGACCCAAGAGAGAGAACTCGGTGTTGGTGAAAAGAAGAAGAAGAAGAAGTTCCTCCTCCTTTGTCACATTTACAGAACAAACACAAAGTAATACACACACACACACACACACACACACATACACACACACTCACACACACACACACACACACACACACACACAGGACTGTAACACCATCATAGAGTGGATCCCGACCACGTGTACCTGAACTTATTTTTTTAATGATCCACTCTCCAGTATCACCAGGTGTAATATATGTTATCTCTCTTCATTGTACTCAAGGGGTTAGGACAGTACTCAAGGGGGTAAGTCATCGTATTCAAGGGGTTAAGACGTCGTATTAAAGGGGTTAAGATCATCGTACTCTAGGGGTTAGGACAGTACTCAAGGGGTTAAGTCATCGTATTCAAGGGGTTAAGTCATCGTACTCAAGGGGTCTTAAGCGAACGCCCTACATCTTATCACCATCTTATTTGAATTACGTTATGCATTGAAGGGTTTTTGAACCATGAATATACAGGACAAGTGAGTATGTACTGTATAGGTGAATTGTTAGATTACTTATACATAAATGGACTCCTAAACCATTCATGTAGAAGGTTTATAGTTCCTTATGTACCGAAAAATAAAGGCTTAGTGTACAGTGTGCTATATCCGCACTGCCCCTTACATGTTTTTAGGTTATATAATTAAATTGATTCTTTAAAGTAGAGTAAGTGAACCTTTCTCTGGCTGGTAAATAAAGTGATTGGGTAAATTTATATGACGTCCATAGTGATACATTCTTATCAGTAAATTACTCTTTGCATAAATGATATAGAGAGAGCAAAGTTCAATATACTTACCAGCGGTTAAAAAAAAAGATCGAGTGAACGTTTACAACACAAAGTTCCTTAAGGGTGAGTGAGCGGGGGCAAGCGCGCCACATCCCCATACACGTAACACTGAGGCGTTCGTTACCTACCTCTCAGTCTCTACCACACTTACCCCGTCATCACCACCACACTTACCCCGTCATCACCACCACATTTACCCCGTCATCACCACCACACTTACCCCGTCATCACCACCACACTTACCCCATCATCACCATCACCCTTACCCCGTCATCACCACCACACTTACCCCGTCATCACCACCACACTTATCCTAACAACTTTTTTCTTCATACACTCCAAAGATCAGGTCAAGGAGGAAATACCAAGATGACTGCAGATCACTAGACCGGGGCGCTCCATCAGTATAAGACCCCGTCGTGGGATGTTTTACCATGAGTATCGAACTCTTTTGACACTCGTAGTATCTGAGTGTTCTGGCATTCGGGATTGGTTGAGAGAAACGTAATCACCACTTTATATATCCAGTACTTATCGTGAGTATCGTGGGTTGTGATGTTCCTTGTAGTCTTATCTCTCACCCCCCTTACCAAGAACCACTAGCTTGATGGCTACGACCGTCATCCTGAAGCGTCTTGTTGACTCCTCCAAGCAGCTCCTATCTCCTGGTGCTGGGAATGACACTGCTGATGTGAAAGTTCTTACACAGACTCACGTTCTTTTATCACCACCGAAGTATAGGATGATGAGATACCAAGTACCTTTTTTTTTAATGTTTTTTTTTATCGAGTAACACATTCCAGTCTGTTTACTTATTAGAATTATGACTCACTAAGAGATACACGTCAGACCGCTTGATAAGGGTACCCTAGGTGGTAGAGGAGGGATAGCCTTGTAAACAAACAGGTAAGGACAGGTGTGAAGGACCATTCCCCGTTTTCTGTTTCCTGGTATAAGTAAAAGTGTTAGTCATTGTCGTTAGTGAGCCTTACAAAACATCTACTCATCCTCTACTTCAAACTGAGAAAGTAGAGAGCGTCTTGAGTTATATTATTCATGGTTAAGTAAATCATAACACAAATTGATAACATCCTGAGAGATATTGTGACGGATAATCAATGGATAATCCTAACATTATTTAACACAGTCTTAAGGAGTCCAAAATATCCGTAATCAAAATACACAACTCCAGAATCAACATCAATTAACCTTTTAGAAATTAAATTATCAGTAATTTTATATTCCTCATAACAGAATATTCGTTATTATAGGTAAGTTGTCAGATAATTTACTTCATATAAGATGATATAAACTACGTAAGTACATAAATAACTATATTTTAATCCTACGAGAAAGACTCTATACAATATGGTATTATTACTAAGCGTCAACAACAAACGTATCTAAATGATTATCTTAAGTTAGTATGTATATTAAGTTATCAATAATAATTAACACTCAAGAGATGTAGGTACTGTACTGTGTTGGTTAATGAGTCAAGTAACTAGTGAGTTTTATTGTGATCAGGAAGCTTGATAGGTGATATATACAGTACAGTACACCTTTAATTGTACAGGTAAATTGTATTATCTTTGATTACTTACCTGTTGCCTTATGACTAGTTACTTCCCTTGACTTGTGCGGTCATGAGTGTGTTGCATAAATGGTGTGCGGTCATGAGTGTGTTGCATAAATGGTGTGCGGTCATGAGTGTGTTGCATAAATGGTGTGCGGTCATGAGTGTGTCGCATAAATGGTGTGTAGTGTGCGATCAGTGCTGTAGGAAGTCTGTCTGTCTGTCTTAGAACCGTGAAGCGATAAGATTACTCTGTACTCCAAGACGTAACAAATATTCAGGACTAAGGTAGTGAAAGTGATTCTGTGGTCGTAACTTGTACTGCCACTTCCGTCATTTTTGCATATACCGCTGACTATGAACAAATAGATAGCTACCGTAGTTACCATTGACATAAACCGTAAAATAGCTACCGTAGTTACCATTGTCTATGAACGTAGATAGCTACGTGGTGCCATTGACTATGAACAATGGGCTTACCGTAGTTACCATTGACTATGAACCGTAAAGATAGCTACGTGGTTACCATTGACTATGAACCGTAGATAGCTACCGTAGTTACCATTGACTATGAACCGTAAGATAGCTACCGTAGTTACCGTTGACTATGAACCGTAAGATAGCTACCGTAGTTACCGTTGACTATGAACCGTAAGATGGCTACCATAGGTACCATTGACTATAAACCATAAAATAGCTACCGTAGTTACCATTGACTATGAACCGTAAGATAGCTACCGTAGTTACCATTGACTATGAACCGTAAGATAGCTACCGTAATTACTTATGGCTTAATACCCATATATTCTTTCTTTATATCTTAGTTCCTTTATCGATAAGAATCTTCTAGACTTGGCACACAATTGAGGCACTTCTGACATCCTTTACCAAAGTGTTAAAATATTCTGTGCCACACCGCGCCATCGTGACTGACTTCCATGAGTTCAGTGATTGGTGATGACGTAGAGAGTGTGGGAACAAGTGATGACGTGAGTGAGGGGGAACAAGTGATGACGTGAGTGAGGGGGAACAAGTGATGACGTGAGTGTGGGAACAAGTGATGACGTGAGTGTGGGAACAAGTGATGACGTGAGTGTGGGAACAAGTGATGACGTGAGTGTGGGAACAAGTGATGACGTGAGTGTGGGAACAAGTGATGACGTAGAGAGTGTGGGAACAAGTGATGACGTGAGTGAGGGGGAACAAGTGATGACGTGAGTGTGGGAACAAGTGATGAGGTGAGTGTGGGAACAAGTGATGACGTGAGTGTGGGAACAAACACACCTTGAACATCCTCTTTTTTAGTGTCAAATGTACTTTTCCTTGTTGTGTCGACCAGGGACCAAATATGCCTGCGGAGTCCGGCTTGTGGAGACTGTGGTATATACAACTGTTGGGGTTATTTCCATCGTTGTCTGTCTCTCAGTTGTGGTGGTACGATTTTTATAAGGACACCAACGAAGTTTACATGATATACCGGGATTCTCTGCCTTATTTTTTTCATCTATACTTCAGGAACTGCTTTGGAAATATGCTTAATATTCATTTTCTATGTTTTCCCATCATGACGTCTGGGGAGCGTGTCAGTAAAGGGAAAGGAAGACTGGTCATCATTTATCAGTGTTGTATTGACGAGTACAGAGAGAATATGGCTATAGTAATTACGGGTTACAGTGTAAGACATTATCATAAACAGTAAATATGGTTATGGCACCTTCTGTATTGTTGCTTTAACCGATCTTATAAAACACTTCAAACAACGAGAGATTATGTCCTGCAGACTAACCTAACCTAACCTAATCTAACCTAACTCTCAAATTAACAACATTTACCTAAAATTATCAAGAGTAAATTTGTATTGAAGAAAGATATATCCCTTCATCACAACTCACTAGTAAACATTTAAGAAGATCTACTCATACAGTGTTAACAGAGACTTAACATAGGTAAAAGAAACATCTGGTTGTGAGAAAGAGGTGTTGTTGACCCAGGAGAATCAACACCCTGTACCCAGACCATTATGAGAGGTAACAACTACTTAATGGTTAGCTCTACACAACTCATCCCAAAGACTAACACAAATATAATCACGTCTTGTCACCATTTCTCTACACATGTTCCTTCTAGTCCTGATCCTCGTGTTGCGTCACCCGGAAGATAGAGACTTATACTTGTTCCTAAACGTGAGGTCTTGTATCAGGCTCCAGGGGTGTAGAGTCTTGTGTTGGTCACACTACCTCCCAGTGTTCTGGTAGATGCTGTTACCACCTCCACCTCCTCCGGTACCGCCTACACCGCCTCCGCTGCCACTTCCACTCACTCGCCCGATCTCTGCGTTGAGGTTGTAGAACTGGTCGGCGTTGAAGCAGTCGAAGTTGTACCACCAGTCACAGACGAAGAACTGCTGGTTGAAGATGGTGCCGACGGGGCAGAGGAAGGAGTTGAGGCGGCCGTCCTGCTGACAGATGTGAAACACCTGCAGGGGAGACGGACATGTTAGAAGGTGGTGTGGGGAGACTTGTGCTTGTAATGAGGTGTGTGTGTGTGTGTGTGTGTCTGTATGTGTGTTTGCTGAGAAAGTTTGAGTATATTGTCTTCTGTAAGGTATTAATGATAATATGATAATTACATACTGTATACCCAATGCATATATGCAGTACGTCTATGTGTACACTATGGAACATGAGAGAGGGAGAATGACAGAAAATGGATCCAAGTATGAAGAGTGAGGAGAGTGAATTTGACCAAGATAGAATGATGGGGAGAAATTTTACTGAAGACACGTGAGGGAAAGAGACAGAGAACATAACCTGACCAAGAGATATCCTCCTTGTAGTACCTGACAGCCAGATTGAGTGTCGGCGTAGTACCCTGGCAGGAGACCCACACAAGTGAACCCTGTGTCGGGCACCTGGGCTAGCACGGGGTAGTCCTGACCAGGCACCCCCGGGATGATCTGGGCCAGCGTGGCGGGGGACGCTGCTCCACCTCCACCACCACCACCGCCTCCACCACGACCACCACCTCCACCGCCTCCATCACGACCACCACCTCCACCACGACCACCACCTCCACCGCCTCCATCACGACCACCACCTCCACCGCCTCCATCACGACCACCACCTCCACCACCTCCACCGCGTCCACCACCACCACTTCCACCGGTGTTGTTGAAGTACTGGTTGCCACCGAAGCCTGCGTTATTGAGGAGGGTCCGGGAACCATCGTTAGGTGAAGCCATAGCCTGGTGCATGACGCTGCCAGCCACCACCACCACCAACAACACTGAGGAGAAAAGGGTGATAAGAGTACAGTGTGTGTGTGAGGGAGGTGTGTACAGTGTGTGGTGTGTACAGTGTGTGGTGTGTGAGGGAGATGTGTACAGTGTGTGGTGTGTGAGGGAGGTGTGTACAGTGTGTGGTGTGTGAGGGAGGTGTGTACAGTGTGTGGTGTGTGAGGGAGATGTGTACAGTGTGTGGTGTGTGAGGGAGATGTGTACAGTGTGTGATGTGTGAGGGAGATGTGTACAGTGTGTGGTGTGTCTTTCTGCCTCATTACACACAATTGCAGGGTCTCAATTGTTTCTCTTACTTGATAACACAACATACATATAGTGTTTCTCACTATTCATTTTTTTCTTAACTTTTGTATTTCTTTATAGTTCTTAATTATTATTATTAATATTAATATTAATATTATTATTATTATTATTATTATTATTATTATTATTATTATTACAGTGTTGTTGTTATTATAATCATTATTATTTTATTTTACTTTTATTATAAATTTTATTTACTATGAATAGTTATTACATTTTCGTCCCCCAGGCCCCGATGTGGGTCAGTGACCTGTGCCCGGATGTAACTTGACAACAGTGAGGGTTATGACTGGTGGCGTACAGTACCGTGGATGGTTATCAAGTTCAGTGTTAAGGTGTTAGTATGATGTCGCTTTATTAAACATTACGAAAAAAAATCTATTAATCTTTGGCAACATGTCTTCGCTTAACTAACCTGTCCAGTAATAGTAATACAAACCTTTTAGAAGCCGGGCTGGATATACCGAACCCTATCCGGCCACAAGAGAGATATTCTTCCTGAATTTTCTAAACCTTCCAAGTAAGGCTACACTTGATCTTGATAATGTGTTTGATATACGAGTGCCTCCTCTTATGGCCTGGCACCCAGGGATCCCATTCAGATTAGCTCTCGGTCCTATTATTTTTTCTTCGGGTGAAAGTTAAAGTAGGTCCCTTAGGCCTGACAGTACCTCCCCAACTATAAAGTTAGGGTCTATTTATAGTTAACTGTACTAGGAGCTCCTCAGGATCGAACCAGCGACCATCAGGACAGGAGGGTGGTGTTGTGTCCACTCGGCCACCCCATCTAAGCTCTAATGGGCATAAACTTGGGTTTATTTGTTGACAGTTGTATCATTGAAATCTAAAAGCGATCATAAGTAAACAGAATTCTCTTTAAATCAGACTGACCGTACATCAGTATATTATGTTTACTGTGCAGTGTGTCCCTCCCCCTCCCCTTCTCCCTCCCTGGACAATTTTTCTGTCAAATTCGGATTTTCACAAAATCTGAGACCCGCCCCCCCCCAATTAGTGAGCAGTATGGTCGAGATTGTACTAGTTGTGGTCATGCGGCAACAGTGTGTGGAGTCAACACGTGTCTTGTTGATGTTATGTCCTCCTGGCAGCTGTTCTCTTACTGTTGGTAGTCAGATACTTAGCTTGTGTCAGTCGTCTTGTCTTACCCGGCACCACAACCCTGCCTGCTGCTCCACTCATTCTCTCTATTACTGCTTTGGTGAGGTTCTTCCTCTGCTGACGGCGACTGACACTCCTGACACTGGCAAGACGTTCCTACAGCTTTATACTGTAAGAAGGAGAAAGTAGAGTTGTCAGACGTGGATTTTTTTTAAACCTAAAACCAAAACTTGATGACTGTAAAACTCTGTACAGGAACACTAAAGTTATCTAACAAGGCAAAGAAAACAGTGATGATCATACCAGTTGCATTAATATTTAGTTGTTAAGAAGAAGAATAACAAAATAAGACACTTGCTACCTCCACAACAACAGTGTCACAGCTGGTGGTGATGATCTCAAGCAGAGGAGAGACTAGTAGAGCTATTATCTGGCTCAAAGAGTTCCTCACCATGCTAGTATAATCAAAGAGTTCCTCACCATGCTAGTATAATCAAAGAGTTTCTCACCATGCTAGTATAATCAAAGAGTTCCTCACCATGCTAGTATAATCAAAGAGTTCCTCACCATGCTAGTATAATCAAAGAGTTTCTCACCATGCTAGTATAATCAAAGAGTTCCTCACCATGCTAGTATAATCAAAGAGTTCCTCACCATGCTAGTATAATCTATCATCTCCTTCACCTTCTTAAAATCTACACACACACAGTCATAGACATTTCTCTACATAAGGGAGAGAAAGTAAAGGAAAGAGCAGAGACAAAGGAATATTATGTAGTAAATAAAATAACATAGAAGATTCTTGGTGATAAATTTAACTGAGGGAAAAAATGAAAGCATAAAAATAAGTAACATTTGGTGGTGGTGTGTTTCGGAGAGAGCCATCACCGGCTGAGTGAGGGTGTAACACTGAAGATGGGTGTAGAATTAAGGGGTCCAGCCGCCTCACACACACGCTTGGGCTCTGTCACGGAACGCCACAACTACTGGACGCTTTGCTTTGAATACACCAGAATTTATGATACTATTTTTATTTATATCTTCTTAGCATTAGGTTATGTTTGTGTTCTTAAGTAAAGTCTTTGGGTTATAACAATACAGAAAAAATAAAATACATACATACATAAATCAGAGTACCGTTTTATCTGAGGGTTGGTGATAAGGCTGTTTTTTTTTTACCAAGCCTCTAAGGTTTTGTATCTCTCTAAGGGACCCATCCTTGTCTCTGCCTTCCCTTCAACTCTGTCAATTAATATTTCCATTATTATTCGCCCATCCTATTTATATAACCAAAGTATCTTATTTTTCTTCTTCTTGATAATCTTAGTACAATTTTTAACACTCGCCTATATCACATTTCAAAGGCCTCCACTCTCTTTCTGGTGTCTGTTGAAAGTGTCCACGCTTCTGACCCTTACATCAGTCCTTGCCATATAAACCCTTTCAAAAGCACCTTTTCTCAAATTGAAGTTAATGTTTTGATTTTTCATTATGTGTTTTAGATAAAATTTCCACTCGTTTAAGTTCCCTGTTGCCAACCATAATTTTTATTTTATGATTTATTTTCAATTTCGAAACAACCATTACTTTTGTCTTTACAGAATTAACTCTTAAACCATATTTTCCCTGCTGAACCATGAACCCCGAGATTCAGACTCGTGAACCCGAAGCAGTAGACTGAATCTCTCGGGGGGATCATGGTTCAGAGAGAGAGACAAACTGACTTCAGTAGTTAACTCATAGTAGAAGCAGGCCTTTAATTGACAACCACTTATATATACTAAGTAATTTTCCTTAACTGGTACCCAAAAAAAATTATACCTTAATTCACCAACTTTGTGAAAATAACATTAATAATTTTGTATACAAGAGGTCGATTTTTTTTAGTCAATAGTTTATCATTAATCGGTAACTTAGAAAGGTCTTAAATAAGTAGTATGGTCTCCTGTAGTGCCTTTATAAGTAATGACGTCAGTGTCTGTCTCATTGTTCCTCGGTGTAGTTAAGAAAAGTAGAGAATGTTGGATGAGGAAGAGTCTTTAGTAAGGAGTATTATTCTTGTGTATTTTATTTTATCTTCAATTTTTCAAGCGCCTTTTGTTAGTAGCTTTTATTCAGTGTTGTGAGTGTGTTGTGTGAGTTGTGTAGTGAGTGTGTTGTGTAGTGAGTGTGTTGTGTGTGTTGTGTTGTGAGTGTGTTGTGTGTGTTGTGTTGTGAGTGTGTTGTGTGTGTTGTGTAGTGAGTGTGTTGTGTGAGTTGTGTAGTGAGTGTGTTGTGTGTGTTGTGTAGTGAGTGTGTTGTGTGTGTTGTGTAGTGAGTGTGTTGTAGTGAGTGTGTTGTGTGTGTTGTGTAGTGAGTGTGTGTGTGTTGTGTAGTGAGTGTGTTGTGTGAGTGTGTTGTGTAGTGAGTGTGTTGTGTAGTGAGTGTGTTGTTTGAGTGTTTAGTGTGTGTTGTGTTGTGAGTGTGTTGTGTGTGTTGTGTAGTGAGTGTGTTGTGTGAGTTGTGTAGTGAGTGTGTTGTGTGTGTTGTGTAGTGAGTGTGTTGTGTGTGTTGTGTAGTGAGTGTGTTGTGTGTGTTGTGTAGTGAGTGTTGTGTAAGTATTGTGTCAGTAGCAGGTTAATATAGAGCACCATCTGTTATAATCATCTACCAAGAGTATTACAATAAACATTTAGTATCGTAAAATAATAAACATTTCTATAGTATTTTGTTTTATCATAAAGTACATAAATCACCTATAACAAAAAAAAATATATATATACATTATATAAACTGACAATGACCTGCATGTGTCGTACAAAAGAATAAATAATTAATGTTTTTACTATTAATGAGACAAGGACATAAACTATTTAAAGATATCTACATAAACTTATTTCTCTATATTAAAAAAAAATCTACAATAACTTACCGTAAAAAAGAAAGTAATCACACGTAAAACATTCCAGTAGCTTCTCTTAATGACTCTTTATGTTATTATCGATACGTTTAAATGTCTCAGACGATGATTAAAAACTTATTCATATCCTTAAATTAAATTCACGAAGTCAATATTTATATAGATAATATATTACAGGAGGCTTTTGTTATTTCCTTTGAGTGTTATAGTCTCTGGTGGGTTGCTGGAAGCCGCCGTCGTTTACACCGCCATGGTTCCCGCCACCGCCGTCATAGTTCCCGCCGCCACCGCCACTACCTCCTCCATAGTTCCCACCGCCACCACCACCACCTCCATAGTTCCCACCGCCACCACCACCACCACCTCTATAGTTCCCGCCGCCACCACCATCAATGCTGTTCCCGGAGAAGAAGTTGGTGTTGTCTGTTTTCCCGATGTCAGCGTTGAGGCCGTAGTACCGAGGAGCTGAAGAACAGTCGAAGTTGAACCACCAGTAACACACGAAGTACTCCTGGTTGAAGACGGTGCCGTTGGGACAGAGGAAAGAGTCCATCCTGCCGCCGTGTTGACAGATGTGGAATACCTGCATGATAAACAAGTGGAGTGAACATTATTTTTGGTGTAGAGTATCAGGAGACAAGATCTAGTTTAACTGTTACGGAGGTTGTTGTAGTTGCCATTTTAATGTATTAGAATCTAGTTAGGTTAGGTTAGGTTAAGTTTGGTTAGGTTAGGTTTAGGGTATTATCAATCCCTCAGTTTATTTTAGATATAATGGGGGGGGGGGTTAATGGTGGTTGATGGCGCTATTATAATATAGTAGAAGAATATTATATGACCTGATGATGGGGTAGTGAGGTAGTAGGTGTAGGAACTACTGTAAATCTGGACGGGGTTAAGTATTAGTAACGGGGAATAGTACACTGACCGAGGGCACACACTTACCTGGCTGGTGGTCCCGGGGGTTAGTTGGCTACAGTCACCCTCCAGATGGCTTCAGTGTGAGAGTAATATCACAGAATAGGACCACAGACTCACCTGACAGCGAGCAGAGGGGTCAGTGTCGGCGTAGTAACCCGGCAGAGAGTCACAGACGAAGCCAGTGAAGGGAACGGAGGCCAGCAAGAGGTAGTCCTGGCCGGGGGTCCCTGGGATGGCGTCCAGGTTGTTGGTGGAGAACACGATCCCAAGGTTGTTCTGTCCTCCGAAGTTGCTGCCGCCGCCGCCACTGTACCCGCTGCCACCACCGCCGCCGCCACTGTACCCGCTGCCACCACCGCCGCCGCCATCACCGCCGCCGCCACCTCCACTACCACCACCGCCACTGTACCTGCCACCACCTCCACTACCACCACCGCCGCCACCACCACCACCACTGAAAACTCCCCCACTACCTTTGCTGCTAAACCCTCCACTGCCCGTCCCTACATCACTATAGCTGCTACCGCCTCCACTACCACCACCACTGACAAATCCACCTCCTCCTTTACCACTGCCACTACCACCACCAAATCCACCTGACTTCCACCACTACACCACCACTGACAAATCCACCTCCTCCTTTACTGCCTACCACCACCACCACTGACAAATCCACCTCCTCCTTCTGCCACTACCACCACCACCACTGACAAATCCACCTCCTCGCTACCTCCCTACTACCACCACCAACAAATCCACCTCCTCCTTTATTGCCACCACCACCACCACCACACTGAAAACTCCCCCACTACCTTTGCTAAACCTCCACTGCCCGTCCCTTACATCACTATAGCTGCTACCGCTCCACTACCACCACCACTGACAAATCCACCTCCTCCTTACTGCCACTACCACCACCACCACTGACAATCCACCTCCTCCTTTACTGCCACCACCACTGACAAATCCACCTCCTCCTTTACTGCCTCCACTACTACCACCACTGACAAATCCACCTCCTCCTTTATTGCCACCACTACCACCACCACTGACAAATCCACCTCCTCCTTTACTGCCACCACTACCACCACCACCTATACCACCACTACCTAACTTATTACCAAACCTCCTCGAACCTCTGCCACTGTGGGAGTTAGAATCAAACCTTCCCCTGCCACTGTTACTTGAGAACCCTCCTCCTCCGCCGCCTCCTCCTCCACTCACGGTAATCCTCACACCTCTACCTCCTCCACTGTTACTCAGGAAGCTGCCACCATTAAACACACTGTTGTCAATGTTGTAATTCCCCCCTCCACTACCTCCACTGCCACCACCGCCGTCACCAAACGTCGCCACGAACTGGTTAGTCTCCTGCCCTTCCAGATTTCCCGATTTTTTCAGATTTTCTAGAGTTTCCAGATTTTCGGGATCTACACTTTCTAGTCTCTTCAGGTCCATGGTGGTGGCCAGGCTGACGAACACTGGAGGAAGGTGAGGGAGGTAGAGTGAGGGAGGCAGTGTGAGGGAGGTGAGGGAGACAGTGTGAGGGAGGTAGAGTGAGGGAGGCAGTTTGAGGGAGGTGAGGGAGACAGTGTGAGGGAGGTAGAGTGAGGGAGGCAGTGTGAGGGAGGTGAGGGAGGCAGTGTGAGAGGAAGGGAGGCAGGCAGGGTGAGGAAGGGAGGGTAGGGTGAAGATGAAGAGGAAAGAGACACAGGGTAATTAACATCTTGTAGTGATAATAATAATAATAATGTGTGATGGCTTCAGTCGCCTCTACCTTCACTAAACAATAATATATAAGGATAATTCTTCTCTATATTATTACCGAGTAGTGATGATATATCACCTTCTCACGCACTACATTAATCTATTTCTTGAATAATTTTTAAGATTTTTTTTTAATATTTAATTTGGTGAAAAAAAAAACGTGTAATTTAACAAGTGAGTCGGTATTAGTTATCGTTGATTGGTTCATGAAGTCGCTGTAGTTATCGTTGATTGGTTCATGAAGTCGCTGTAGTTATCGTTGATTGGTTCATGAAGTCGCTGTAGTTATCGTTGATCGGTCAATAAGCGTCGCTATATTTATCGTTGATTTGTCCATACAGGCGCTATAGTCAATGTTGATTGGTCCATAAGAGTCACCATAGTCATCGTTGATTGGTCCTTCAAGAATATAGTCATCGCTAATTGGTCCCCCAGGAATCAGTATCGTTATCATTGGCTGAGCTCATGTAGACAGTGCGCGCCTTACCCTCCAATAAGTCACATCAGAGGCGTGGTGGTGTCCCCCTTACCTAACACCAGCAGGAGGGGGTTGAGTCTTGTGAACATCCTGCCGGTAGCTCTCCTCCCCTCTCTTATTTATATCCTCTTGGCACAGGAACGTAAAGCGGGATAGTTATAGCTGTGAAGATGGAGATGCTTCTGGGGGCTTCACGTGAACGATTCAGCAGTATATGTATGAAGGAGTGAGAGTTGAAATCCTCTAGTTGCCACACGCCTCTTACTGAACTTGAGGGCCAATTATTAGTTTTACTCCGCTGAGAAATTGGTGATTTTATATGATATGAAAACACGTATGTATTGATGTGATATTTAGATGATATAATGAATTTAATCTATAAAGAAGAGTTAAGGAAATGTATGTGTGTGTGTGTGTGTGTGTGTGAGCTGGGTGGCACCTGCTGGCGGCGACAAGGCTGCTGGTCCTCACCGGGGGCGGCTCAAGCCAAGCGTCCCGCGGGCGTCTCCAGGAAGACACAACTGGAGCAAAGTTACACAAGACTTGTCTCCTGCCGTGCACAGCTTCCGGTACGTGTTGTTCATCTCCCGAAGCAGCTCCTCTGTACTCAACAACTGCTGCCACAACACGAGTAGTCACTTAACTTTTTATCTTATTTATGTTGTCGCCTCTATGGGAAGTTTCCGCGTATCTCTTGTCCTTTGTGTAGATGTCATCAGTGTGTCGGAATAACAAAGTTCTATGACAGCTAGTGTAAGGTGTCCTCCTGCACCTGTGTGTAGCCCAGGTAGTTCACTGTGATGGTGTGTTGGTCAGTTCAGAGAGAGAGAGAGAGAGAGAGAGAGGACAGGAACCAGTGTATCAAGATCCATCTCCTAAAGTGAATTTTCTTGCTGCTTTGCTGTTGTTGTGTATTTAGAGGCTTCACCTATCAGGTTCTTGAATTTTTGGTGTCTCTTCTTGACAACATTAAACTTTTAATAATTCACAAATTAATTAGTTCTATTTGGGTTAAAAGAGTTAAACCTAAAGTACGTCTAGTTATTACATCGATAAGTTGTTTTTAAAACTAACTTTTATTTATCAACTGATGGTGTGAGGTGGCTCATCTACCATCACTGGCTCTCTACCATAACACGATGACGTCACTCACCAACACCTTCCCACACGTAACTGTTCACCTCGGTATAAATCATCAAGAAAGTTGAGTGTGTCCGTACATGCAAAACTTTTATGCAACATCACGTCGCTTTCTGGCCGTGGAGATACAACCCTCCCTGCTCCCTCTTTCCCTCCGTCTCTCCTGCCACACTCCCTTCCTCCCTCCTGCCACACTCCCTCCCTCCCTCCTGCCACACTCCCTCCCTCCCTTCTGCCACACTCCCTCCCTCCCTTCTGCCACACTCCCTCCCTCATGTCACACTCCTAGACCTCCACCACCCCTCCGCTAAGGAATACCTCTGTTTATAAAATATTCAAGCAATAAGTTTTAAAATATCTTCCCACGAAATCCTTCTTGAGTTTTCAGTCCGTATTTCAGTAAGAGGAAGGAAGGACTATGCTTACCGCAGCTGATCTAGTTCGTGGCTGCAGGAAGGCATAGCAGCTCCTGTACTGTACCTACCTGGGTCATGGTCTGGTAAGTGTGTCTGTCTCAGTATTGTGTCACTCATCGATCATACAAGGACGCGTCTGTATAGTGTGTACACCCTGTGGTCTGTACACACGGTCATGGGGTAACCAAGGTCTTTGTTATCAGCTGGAACTATCTCTCTGTTCTAACTCATTACTGTCCGCCTGTGTCTGTGTCTTTCAAGTGGTTCCTAGAATTCTCCGACGGGGTGGGGGGGGAGGGGGTGTAGTTCTCGGACTCCCCCTGTGTGTAAATTAACTCACTGTGTATACTACAACACCCAAAGACTTCCTGTTGTTGTTCAGGTGACAGTAAATGGTTTCTTGTTAGGTAAAAATTCCCTTAAAGTATTATAATTAGGACAACGGTGTTATATTAATGGTATTACTCAACCATTACCATTCACACGGTTTAGAACAGCTTGTACAGTCACTCATAAAAAATATCTTTACAAAATTGTGTTGAGAAAATATGACACAACGGACGAAGGATTTTGACAACTCTACCGAGACAACAGGAGTCACAGTGTTCATTCTGAAATTCATCGATCACCCTAAGTACACATATTTTTTTGAATGATTGTACATAAAAACAACAAAATATATTACCTGTTTGTTCATTAGTTATTTTATCATTATAATTGGGTCAATATTTATTCTCACAAATATAACAACGGGAGGTAAATTAATACACATTTATAAATAATAAAACTCTTTTATTTCAACATATTTCTAAACAAACAATTACTTCATAGTTATAAATTGTCTCTCTCTTAGCTTCAACGACTTAGCCTTTGAAGCTCACACACTATTAAGATTATACACAAGATAACTATAGATAACAACTATTAATGATAAAACGATAACAATTCTTCCTGCTTCACATTAATGGCACCTAAAACTACCTACTATATCATACAGCAGTTAATAATATGCTACCTGACTCCGGGTACAACAACAACAGGTAATATACAAAACACAACAAACTACAGAGAGGTTAACTACACACCTTGTAATAACTAGTGTAGGTGTGTGATTCAGTCCGATGTATAGCTTATCACATAATACAACCCTGTCCTAATTTCAGTATGGAGAGATGGTGGTTTATGTGTGAGATTTTACCAATGATTCGTCTGTGAAATAGTATGAGCAATTGTGTATCAGTGTTAATACTAAGAACATATATTTTGCCCTGATAAGAAATGATTACTGAGTGTGAGTAAGAGGGAGTGATCAATAGGTAAATAGTCTTTTTACTAGCATATAATAGTGGTGTCGTTCACTTGTGTTGTGTTATGTAGATGAGGAAAGAGAATTCTGACGACAACTGTAGATTTTTTTGTCTTTTGTAATATAATATATACATTATGTAGTCAAGGTAAACACTGAAAGTTTTAAAGATGTGAGTAAAGAGATTTTCTATTACATGGTTATTACAAGTCGCTTCTTCCTATATTGTTTCTTGTGTATTACCGTCCACGACTCTCAAGGCAGATGGTATTATTATTGTCTTTCATGAATAACTAATAACGTTACAATATTAAATGACAAAGGTGATGATCTGTCAGTGTAGTTCGATCACACTGTAGTTACCGGGAGACGTGTTGAGAGTATTAGTCGTTTTCTCTCATCCTGACTGTACAAGAACCGGTTCTGTGTTACCAGTGTTACCGGGTTGGTGCTCCGTACTGGCTACTGGGAGGACGAACACCTCCACCTCCAGCGTAACTCCCTCCTCCTCCGCCTCCTCCTCCACTACCTCCACCACCTCCTCCACTACCTCCACCACCTCCTCCTCCCCCTCTACTAGGTACTCTCCCGATCTCATTGTTGAGGTCGTAGAACTGATCAGCGGTGGTGCAGTCGAAGTTGAACCACCAGTCACACACGAAGAACTGCTGGTTGAAGATGGTGCCGTTTGGACACAGGAACGATGTCTTCCTCCCTCCTACCTGACAGATATGGAACACCTGCAAATAAACGGAAATAAAAAGAATTCTGAGCTTTTTCATGTGTATTCTGCATGTTAGTAGTGAACTATAGTGAGTAGTGATCGTAAATATAGAAACGATGTATTTATTTATCTTTCATTTCTAGTGTAAAAAACTCTCTCTCTCTCCCTCTCTCCTACACTAAGCTTACGGACGAGAGCGATAAGTTACGATAATTACAAGATAGGGTCGGAGGCCGCCTTTGGGGGCTGATTTCTACGTCTGCCCATTTCTTATCCAGTTGTCTCTCGTTGACTTTCTTTACCCACCCACCTTCCCCTCCTACCCTCCCCTACCCCCCCTCCCCTACCCCACCCACCCTCCCCACCCACCCTCCCCTCCTACCTCACCATCAAGAAGGCTCATAAAGTTAAACTCACAACAGGAAGACTCATAAAACATCACTTATGAGACGAAGATTTAAATTACCTCAATGACTTACACATACACACTTACCTGATTTATGACTGAACATGACTGATGGTTCAAGTTAGTCAGTCAGCCATACAAGGGCGTCTTTACGGTCACCAGTACTTAGCTGTCAGGTCAACAGGTCATCTCACTGTCAGCCAATTGGGGGTTGAGGTCAGTATCAGGTCAGCAGGCTGGTAGAGGAGGTCACAGTGTCGAATGGTAATTTTTTTGGGGGTAAGGTCACATGTTAGTCCCAAAGATGTTTACTGTTGACATCACAGCACATCACTTGACATCACATCACATCACATCACTTGACACCTCTGCACATCACTTGACAGCTCATCACATCGCCTGACAGTTCATACACATCACTTGACAACTCTAGCACATTACTTGACAGCTCATCACATCGCCTGACAGTTCATACACATCACTTGACAACTCTAGCACATCACTTGACAGCTCATCACATCGCCTGACAGTTCATACACATCACTTGACAACTCTAGCACATCACTTGACAGCTCATCACATCGCCTGACAGTTTATACACATCACTTGACAACTCTGTGCATTACTTGACAACTTACCACGTACACTGACAACACTTTACAGTCACCTTCAGATACACATTACCAACAAAAAACATTACTTGACAGCATCTTGACATCTCATTTGACATCACCTGACATGACACAAAAGATTTACTCTATCTGAAATGACTACGTGACTTCATATTTACGCTGACATGACAATTAATGAAATCAAATCCAGTCTATCAGCATATCTTGACGTTTAGTGACATCACCATCTGATATAACAGCTGACATCAATCATTCTCCCGACATCTATTAGCACCAGGTTACATCATTGAGGAGGTTTTTGACGTCATAGCAGAGGATATCACTTGACAGAGAGACACACACGACTCACCTGACAGCCGGCGTCTGGGGAGGTGTCCGCGTAATACCCCGGCACCTGACCAATGCAGGAGAACCCGGTGTTGGGCACTGAGGCGAGGATTGGGTAGTCTTGACCGGGTATTCCACCTCCAGCCACGGCAGATGCGAGACTCCAGCCTCCCCCTCCTCCTCCTCCACCACCGCTACCACCACCACCTCCTCCACTGCCACCACCTCCACTACCCCCACCACTGCCACCTCCACTACCACCACTACCCCCACCACTGCCACCTCCACTACCAACACTACCCCCACCACTGCCACCTCCACTACCCCCACCACCGCCCCCTGTGCCACCACCTCCACTGGTACCACCACCACCTCCACTACCATAGCCGCTCCTTCCAACAGCACCAGCGCCAATACTTCTGCCTTTGTTTTCTTCCACCAGCTGTTCTATACCATTACCACCAAAGGCTCTGTCACCACCACCTCTACTCTCCACACTCACGTCACTGTTGGCATTGGCTCTACTGTTGCCACCAAACCCTGTATTCTTTCTACTAAAGACTCGGACAGCATTGACACCACTTGAACCACTGAAGCCACTGCCAGTATTACCACCATTTGCATTACCGAAGCCTCTGACAGCAGTACTTGAACGGGTATCAGAGTAGCTACTACCACCAGTGTCTCTTCTAGCACCACTACCAACACTTGCAGTACTAAACCTTCTGCCAGCATTATCAAAACTTGCACCACTAAAGTCTCTACCAGCAGTACCAAAACTTGCACCACTAAAGTCTCTACCAACAGTACCAAAACTTGCATCACCAAAGCCATTTCCGGCAGTACCAACACTTGCACTACTAAAGCCCCTGCCATCATTACCAACACTGGCGCCACCAAAGGTTCCATCAGCACTACCCTCCCTGCCTCTGACAGTCCTCACATCAGTGTCTCTGTTGGCATTTCTCACTCGGTTACTCCTCACGAAGCTGGGTCGTACACTACTACCGACGTTGAAGCCTCTCCAAGCTAGGCTTCGTCTGTTACCTCCACCACTGCTTCCACTCCCACCACCGAAGCCTCCACCACCAACTCCACTGTTAACGTTTCTCATTCTGTTGCTGTTCCTGAACCCTTGTATCATCCCATCACCACCACCACGAACTGCCGCACTACCTATGTCTACCTTCCCAATACCAACAAATTCACCGCTGTCTATATCATCACCACTATCACCACCACTACTCTCGTCACCACCACCAACGCCGTCACTGATGCTTCCCTGGGTAGTTACAGGAACTGCCCCAGGGATCCCATTGTTGAAGTGGTTGAATTTGGAGAAGGTCCTGAGGAACTGGTTGAAGGCTTGAAGGTGGAGGATGGGATTAGCGGCGACGAAGACCAAAACTGTAGAGAAAGAGATGACTTATTAGACGCAGCAGCAGAAGAACATACCGTACATGATATACAGTAAAAACCTCCATTTAACGGACTATATACAGAGGAAAGTCCGTTATATCAAGGATTCTTTAGATGTAAACCTTCCTCCTTCCCCCTAACGTATTATAAGGAGAGCGAAGGAACGTTTATTTAACCTTAAGACTCCGACGTGATTAAGGTATATAGTTAACCATGATCAGATTACCCAGGTATATTTTGTTTAAAGGTTAATGATAAGAGTCACCTGTGCCGTTTCTACATCAATATAGAGCTCTTTATCTTATAGACTCATAGGAAATAGAATGGTATAGAGTATAGAACACAAAGAACCACCCCCACCCCCCAAAAAAACTCTATATTTTAACTCTATCTCTCACTTATAGCTCCCAGGAGAAAAGTTTGTTGAGAGGAAAACAAATGAGTTACTACTTACACCCAAGAGACAAGTTAGAAGGAATAAAAGTGATAATTATGATGAATGGGACGAATAATTGAGGCAAAATGCGATTAATTTGACAACCTCTGCTTGAAGGTAAATAACTGAATCTGAATACACACACACACACACACACACAACACCCCCACACACAACACCCCCCACACACAACACCCTCCTCCCACACCCACACACCCACAGCATCCTCCTCCCACACCCACACACTGTTGATAATAATATGAAGGAAATTCCAACACCACATTCATAAAACCATAAACAGTATAACAAACGTCTGGTTAGGTTAGGTTAGGTTTATGTTAGGTTTATGTTAGGATTATGTTAGGATTAGGTTAGGTTAGGTTAGGTAATGTAGTTGGATTATCACACTTGATCATTATGTCAACACTGTTATCACCTGTCGCTGTTACCTGCATGTTAATTAAGTGCTACGTTCTCATGACTCATATGAACACTGCATCACCACCACACAAAGAAGCACTGATGTACCATACAGAGAAGCATTGCAGCACCACACAAGGAAGCATTGCAGCACTATACAAGGAAGCACTGATGTACTATTGTGGACAAAAATTCGCTCCTTCCCAAAGTGAAGCAGCATCGACCCGCACAGCACACCCGCACCAGATAACAATCAGGGTAAGTCAGTTCGGAGACTCGTTCCCGTGACTCGGTTTCACTACAGGGAGCGAACTTTTGTCCACGATAGTACCACACGAAGAAGCACTGTAGCACTATATAAAGAAGCACTGATGTACCACACAAAGAAGCACTGCAGCACCACACAATGGAAGCACTGATGTACCATACAAAGAAGCAGTGCAGCACCACACAAAGAAGCAGATGGCACCACCACATGGATGCGCAGCACCACACAAAGAAGCATTGCAGCAGCACACACAAAGCACTGGAATGTGCAGCAGAAGCAGTGCAGCACCACAGAAGCATTGTGGAAGCACTGCAGCACACACAAAGAAGCATTGCAGAAGCATTGCAGCACCACACAATGGAAGCACTGCAGCACCACACAAAGAAGCATTGATGTACCACACAAAGAAGCATTGCAGCACCACACAAAGAAGCACTGATGTACCATACAAAGAAGCAGTGCAGCACCACACAATGGAAGTAGTGCAGCACCACACAGAGGAAGCAGTGCAGCACCACACAATGGAAGCACTGCAGCACCACACAAAGAAGCACTGATGTACCATACAAAGAAGCATTGCAGCACCACACAATGAAGCACTAATGTACCATACAAAGAAGCATTGCAGCACCACACAAAAGCACTGCAGTACCATTGCAGTACCACACAAAGAAGCATTGCAGTACCACACAAAGAAGCAGTGCAGTACCACACAAAGAAGCAGTGCAGCACCACACAAAGAAGCAGTGCAGCACCACAGAAGGAATAATGTCTACTAATTCCTTATCTATTTCAACTCCTCTCTCTATTGTGTCATATCTTTCTAACTCCACCTATGACACTATTTAACCCAGGTAATTTAACTCTTTGTACCTTCTATTAATCAACATAAGCTTCAATTACCACCTAACAATTCTAACTAGTCATATAGAAAGTTAATTAATTACCTACAGCCTTGTCATTAACAAATCTAGAAAGTATAATTTTATATATTATCCAACTGATATTTAATACATTACTTTCAATTTTACTTATAATTACTATATATACTTTCAATTGTATTTATAATCACTTTATATATACTTTACTGTATTAAATCATCCGTTCTAATGACGCACTATGAGGGAATGAGTCGCACAGTTTGGTCACGTCACTTGTTTAGGTAATTGCTCGCGTGATTATAAGGTGATATATGAGTTATTGTACCCAGGTAAGTGAGTGATTTACAACTGTTCGTGTGGGTGTGTGGGTGTGGGTGTGTGTGTGTGTGGGTGTGTGTGTGTGTGTGGGTGGGTGTGTGTGTGTGTGTGTGTGTGTGGGTGTTTCATACGTGGTACCTAAACACCTCTTGATTATTTACCTGAAATACTATAATTTACGAGGGTAGATTATATACCTCTTAAGCTTGGGATTATTTCCTTCATTTTCGTTATAGTTGATTTTATTTTGGACTTGTTTTGATGCATGTGGAGGTGGGTGATGAGAGGGGGCAGTGTTGTAGTGGGAGGAGAGGTGTGGGAGGGGGCAGTGTTGTAGTGGGAGGAGAGGTGTGGGAGGGGGCAGTGTGGGTACAGAAAGGGTCTAGTGGGTTAGTCCGGGTATATTGATGACTGAGTCAACCCACGGTGGAATACATAAGAAAATGCAACAAGAATAGGTATAAATATTTGTCAAATTCATGCTATACAAAAAAAAACATTATTATGAAATGTAATGTTTGGCATCGAACTGCTGCCACATATTACTTAATCTATGAAAAGTACAATGATATATGAACAATATGTTATATGTACAGTACATACGTATGTATTTAATTAATTAATTAATTTATTTATTTGTTTTATTTATAATTGTATATATTTTAAGTCAAGCATAGAAAATTGAGTTAAGAAAAACATAGTCCCGTATTCCACAATCAAAATATTTACCCCTGCGGCCCGGCCGGCCACTAGTGTGTCCAGCACCTGCCTCACCCTACACACAAGAAGGTTAATGTCTCCCGACTTCTGTCCCGTCACAAGAACCGCCGATTTCTCCATTTACAACTGTTTGAGGTAAGAACTGTAAATTATTTAGCCCTTTGAGAGCTACCAGTCGTCACCAAGTTATGTATCGTTGTTATTGGAGCAGGTGAAGAAAGTACTGAATGAGTATATGACCAAGTCCATGCTAGCACTCAACTTCACTGATCGGCGAGTTAGCCACTTGGGCTGCCGGCCACGTTAGACACTTGCACATCTCAGTGTTATAGCAGTAACCTTGAGGACAAAGAACGTTAAGAAAATTGTGGACAAACATTTAATTGTAACGATTTGGTAAACTAATTTAAAATATAAAGAATATGGGTTAGTGCCACCCCACCATGAAGACATTGACTGTAACGAGTGGAGAGTATATTGATACAGTGGTGTTATTATGAAGTATAAACAGTGTGGTGTAAGTACCTGTACAGAACTATAGCGTAGAGTATGAGAACACCGTTACCACCGGAAGGAATTGTTCGATTTCGTTCATTTTTCCCTAAATGTTCTGATCACTATAGTAAGTATTTTAAAAGAGCCGACAATTATGTATATTAATTATAAGTATTTTTTATTGCTTAGTTTTTCTCTATCTAGATGATCACCAGTTGTGCATTGTTACCTTCCCCTAATTAGTTTTGTGTTACAGGTGTTGAAATAATCACAGAATATTTAAAACCAGGAAGGTCATTTGTAGGTTCATACAAAGTTGTTTTACAGTAGTGTTTGGTCTAGGTTGAGAGTATGTGTTGTGTGTTGAGACTCGGTGGTGTAAAACAAACTATTGTCTTTAGTTTTGGGGATTAGTTGTGCCACTTAACACCTCACCACTAGACGTATACTGAAAGCGTTTGTCACTAACATAAGAACATAAGAATGGAGGAAACTGCAGCGGGCCTATTGACCCATAATGGGCAGTCCCGTTTACACCCAACCCCTATCGCTCATGTATCCACCCAACCTATGTTTGAAGCTATCCAGCTATTCGAGTTAATGATGATGTTTGGTAACTTGTTCCACTCATCCACTACTCTATTTCCAAACCAGTATTTACCTATTTCGCGCCAAAATCTAAATTTGTCTAATTTAAAACCATTGCTACGAGTTCGCTCCTGGTCCGATAATTTAAGTACCTTTGTTATATCACCTTTATTAAACCTGACTTCCATTTATACACTTCTATCATATCGCCTCTCACTCTACGTCTCTCGAGGGAGTGCAGACTAACACTCATATTATTAAACAACATCTTCCCTTGAAGAGGGTCGTTGTGTTTCAACCCGAGTTTTAAACTAAATGAGTCCCGAGGGACACCACAGGACAGTACTTAACGGGGTGGTGTGGCGGTAAAATTAACTAATTCTAATAAAATTAATTTATAATATTGGAATTAGTTAATTTTACCTCCACTCCTCGTTAGATTTAATTACACGCCCTATTTTAATGTCGTCAGCAAATTTACCTATGTTGCTGTCTACGCCTATATCTATGTTGTTTATGTGTATAATAAATAGTAATGGTCCAAGCACTGAGCCTTGGGGTACTCCACTAGCGACGTTACCCCAATCAGATTTAGTGCCGTTAATGCTAACTCTCTGTTTCTTGTCCTGTAACCACTCCCTAATCCAGTCTAGAATATTATCTCCTCCAATTCCAACCATTAGAGAATATATATGGCACTAGGGCGTGGTTTTGGACTCTAATTTAAGGTTTATTACTGTACATAGTGGTTGGCCCTTTTCGTATGGCTGTCTCGGTGAAAAATGGCATAGTAAGCGAGGAATGATACTTGTTGACATCTCAGGTTTTTGTTGGTATACTCGTTGTGGTCCTTACACTGAGGAGCTTTTGGTGTTTATAGCAGCCTTTTTCTGAGTACACATTTACAAAAGCGTCTCACTGGCATCTCTGGCAACACCAAAACAAAACGCGCGGCAAAATGTACAGTGTTGGGGAAGTTCCACGATCAAGAGAGCTCCATCATTTATTGTTTTGTTTTGAAAGTTGGCGACACGATCTAACCTATCCATATAAAGCCTAACCTAACCTATTATCTTAGGTTTGATAGGTTAGGATTTATATATTAGGTTTTTTAGGTTAGCTTTAGCTGTTTCGTAACTAAAAGCTAAATAATTCATTATCTACCCTGTTCGTGGTATTTTTTTCAACACTGTATATAGTACAGACACTGACGACTCCACACTGTCACTCCCTATAGACAGTATAATAACGTTGGCACTTACCGAACACCAGAACAGTACGAGGTAATCCACCCATGGCTGCGTCAGTGTCGAGTTACGGTAGTCCAGATAGAGAGAGAGAGAGAGAGAGGCACACATTCACAAGGGGAGATCACAGTGTGTAGTCCTCATCACACCCCAGCCGCCTGTGACGAGTTAATTCCATTTCCCTCCATTTATAACTTACGGGGACGGGTGGGGGTGAGGGAGGAGGGGCGGGGTAAAGGAGGGAGGGGTAGGTGGGGTGAGGGAGGAGGGGCGGGGTAGAGGAGGGAGGGGTAGGTGGGGTGAAGGATGAGGGGGGGATGAAGAATGATGTCACTTGTTACATGTTAAACTTTTTATTTCATTCGGTTGGAAAGTGCGAGGTATTTTGTGCTTTCGGAAACATAAATCATAAAAAAAAAAGATTAAATTAGTTTGATGGATAAGAATTGTTTATAAAGTTGCTTACATAGAGAATTATTGATGGGGTATTGTGTTAATGTAAAGAACACTCATTACATTACGTTTCATGATCTCGGTATTATAACGTAACATAACTCGGTAAGAATGTTAGATCAATGTTTACAGCGTTAGATTATACTGATCAAACGAATCAATAAATCCCAACATGATAATACAGTGGAAAAGTTATACTCTGATAAAAAGAAAATCATAAGGAAATAATTATTGAACATATCGATTTACTTTTATTATTAACACAAATATTAAAAAAAATTATTTATTTATTATTATTTATTATTAACAAACCCTTAGAGAATATTGTTGTTTGTTGCTGTTGTTGTTTATGTATGGGACTCCTCACAAGTCAGGTAATGAGACAAGATCACCTGTAAGTCCAGAAATTCTATAAGGTGTTCAGCTTTTAATGATGAGTTCTATTTATCACTACAGGGTGTGGTCGCCTCGTGTCCTACCCCCACCCCCAAGTCCACCCAGCTGTAAATGTGTACCTAATATTTTACAGTGACGTAGGTGGTGTGCAGGTTAGGTTAGGTTGTGGTTGTGGATCAGGTTAGGTTGTGGTTGTGGGTTAGGTTGTGGTTGTGGATCAGGTTAGGTTAGGTTGTGGGTTAGGTTGTGGTTGTGGATCAGGTTAGGTGAGGTTGTGGTTGTGGATCAGGTCAGGTTAGGTTAGGTTGTGGGTCAGGTCAGGTTAGGTTAGGTTGTGGTTGTGGTTGTGGGTCAGGTTAGGTTGTGGGTCAGGTACTGTAGGACCTTCCTCAAGCCCTCACGTCTCCACCACCGCCATCACTCTTGTCAGGGCCCCTCTACTCGCTCCTCTTGAGAATACTAAGAGTCTTTAACACCGTCTGAGTATCACCCTGGAGCAACGGGGTGTACCTTAAGCTCACACTCAGGTTGGCACACACACACACACACACACACACACACACACACACACACACTTAAGGTTGGGTCACAAATTAGTCTCCACTGTTGATTTTAAAACAATTATCTATCTCTCTCTCTCTCTCTCTCTCTCTCTCTCTGTTCATCTTTAATCCATCCATCCACTGTCCCCACCCCCACCTTCTCCACTTCCAACTCTTCTCCCATTTCCACTTCCCCCCCATATTCCCTCTTCCTCTTCCTCTCCATTCCCTCCTCTTCCACCCCTCTTCCTTTCCCCCTCCCTCTCTCTTCCCCCTCTCCCTTCCTCCACCCGCTCGTCAACACACAGTTAAGATGTGATCAGACTTGGGTTTTGTCGACTCGTTCTACTTGATGTAAAATTTACACCTCCGCTGGTAGTGGGTCCCAGGGCGAGGCTCCAGGGGCCGACGGTAACGTGCTGATGAAACCTTTTAAATCAAGATAGAATTGATAGATGGTAACTTGTTATTTATTTAGTATTATTATTATTATTATTTGCTTCTGAAGATGAAGTGTACTGTTAACTATTAAAGTCCATTCGTATCTCCTCCCTGAACCACGAACCCCAGAGATTCAGATTCGTGAACCCGAAGCAGTACACTGATACATTATTTTGTACCATAAATGCTTCGGATTCATGAGTCTGAATCTCTGGGGTTCGTGGTTCAGAAGGAGTGACGGACGGTCTTTAGTAGGCTAACTGTATATCTCTCAGTGTAAGTTTGTATTTGATGATGTTTATGAATGAGGATTAAGTGTAAATCTGTAAATTGAAGATTGTTATTGTAAATATATTAGAGAAATGGGGATTTTTTTTTTTACGATGACTCAGTTTACAGCTACGAGTGTGAGTGTGACCAATAACCTCTTACAAGGGTCTAGTTGGTGAAGGCTCTTAAAATCCAAGTCCGTCTCCCTCCCTCCCTCCCTCTCTCTCTCTCTCTCTCTCTCTCTCTCTCTCTCTCGTCCTCCTCCCCTCCCTCCCTCGTCCCTCCCCTCTAACCCCCCCCATTACTTTGGATGTTGTATTCTCTTTTAATGTTAGATGCTGTAATTTTGTTGTATTTATTTGATAGAATCTTTATTTATTAATATATAAGTCTTGTTGATATTTGTATGATGTTGCATCCCCCCCCAGAAACTATAAATAGCTCAACGTATCTAAAATTACCTCTTGAGAAGTACTTTGATAACAGGCCATACACTCGTCAAAAGTTAGGTAAATTTGTAAAAGTATTATATTTCCCTCTCTAAAAGTATAAAAACTTTAATATTTTTCCCATTTATCAAGATGAAACTTTAAAGAAATTTTATATTCATTGATATAAATAAGAAAATGAATATATGTCTTCTAAACAAACTCAATAGTGAAATAGAAAACGGAATTCTAACCAGAACGCGATGATTCTGAGTACAAGCGACGTAAACACTAACTCCCGCCATCCCAGCGTTTATACTCCAGGCCGCCACTACATAACACACACACAGTGAACCCTTCCAGTGTGCTCATACCCAATTAACACAGGTACAGGTGTCTATGATTATATATATGGAAACAGCTGCATCCAACTTGGCGTATGTTTGTAGTGAAGAGTAATGATGTGAATGACTACGAGGGTCAGGAGGGCAGACGGGTGTTACTCAGTGTCTGTGTGTGTGACAGAAATGAAGAGAATGACATTGAGATAGACGACAGAAACAGACAAACATAAGAGAAATGAGAGAGAAGATAGGAGAGATAAAATACAAGAAAACAGGCCCATGACAGATAAGACAGACAGACAGACAGACAGACAGGCAGACAGAGATATCTCGTTCTGGTCACCATCTGAGGACAGCAGAAACATTTGTCCACCCTTTATTTATGTCCACTGCCCCTACAACTCGGTATACCAGCTCGCTCTTTAGGAAGGGGGGTGGAGCATCTCTTGACTGCATCTCTATATTGACGAGAGGATTATTAAACACCTCGGCGATATAGTAGTAGTAGTCCTGGCATCTTCAATGAGATAGGATTTAATATTATTCTTCACAATATCATCCAAATTGTATTCAGGATCATATTGGGGCGAACCATTGGTAACATTGTCGCCTTGGGTACATAGGTAGGAAAATCACTGTTATAACATCTCCAGATTTATTCTTCTCTCCTTGACATGATAACGATACATTTAGCCACCTAGTTCTGTGTGTTTTTTCAGTCCATCATGTTGTGTTCAAGGTGGAATTGATTACACAGTCGGTTTATTAATTATTAGCATTTAGGTTAAGTTAAGAATATACTGATAGATATTAATTTTAACATCTGTAGGAAGGTGACAGATTGTAGCTTATTTTACAGTCCAGGGAATTTAAGTTTTATCATCGCCCCCATCCTGGCAACAGCTAAGTTACCTTGTGTAAAATTGATCTAATAGTCAAGATTTCTAGCATAACTTAATACAATTTTTTTTAATAGTCATTTAAAACTCTTGCGTTACCGTGATACTCTCAGCATATAATTGTAGGGGTTTATAAGCTCAAATAGGTAACTGAGAGAATACCTGAGAACCTATTCACTCATAGGAACCATTAATTAGTGTACATTTATATCCAGTTCATTAGCTCACCTTCCTACACCTTGTGAATCAGAGACCAGGTGATGGGGTTATCGCTGCTGTGGAAAAGACTGAAATAGGATCTAGGTCCAGTAGAATGTTCACGGATTATTATTATTGTTGTCGAGGTCAAATATCCGACACTAGGATTAAGTAAAATTTTCAAACTAGACGAAACAGGAATAAAAGAGCATAAAATGTGTGGTAGGCTAGTAGGGGTGTGTGGTAGGCTAGGAGGGGTGTGTGGTAGGCTAGTAGGGGTGTGTGGTAGGCTAGTAGGGGTATGTGGTAGTAGTATGTGTGGTAGACTAGTAGGGGTGTGTGGTAGGCTAGTAGGGGGTGTGTGGTAGGACAGTAGGGGTGTATGGTAGGACAGTAGGGGTGTGTGGTAGGATAGTAAGGGGTGTGTGGTAAGACCATCAATACACGCCACACACACATGCAAACGCACACATACACACACTCATAAAAACGTACACAAACACACATTCACAAAAACGTACACACACACACACACACACACACACACACACACAAAACACACACAGACAGACACACACAGACACTGATCGTAACCTGGCTCAGTACCACACTCCCGCCACACTGTCTCTCCCTTGACGCCTCTCTGTCTGTGTGTCTGTCTCGTTGTCTGTGTGTCTGTCTGTTGTCTGTGTGTCTGTCTCTGTTGTCTGTGTGTCTGTCTGTTGTCTGTGTGTCTGTCTCTGTTCTGTCTGTCTGTTTGTCTGTGTGTCTGTCTCGTTTGTCTGTGTGTGTCTGTCGTTGTCTGTGTGTCTGTTCCTGTTGTCTGTGTGTCTGTCTCGTTGTCTGTGTGTCTGTCTCTGTTGTCTGTGTGTCTGTCTCGTTTGTCTGTGTGTCTGTCTCGTTGTCTGTGTGTCTGTATCGTTGTCTGTGTGTCTGTGTTGCTGTTGTGTTGTGTGTGTCTGTCTGTCTCGTTGTCTGTGTGTCTGTCTCGTTGTCTGTGTGTCTGTCTCTGTTGTCTGTGTGTTCTGTCTGTTCTGTTGTTCGTGTGTGTCTGTCTCGTTGTTGTGTGTCGTGTCTCGTTGTCTGTGTGTTGTCTCGTCGTTGTGTCTGTGTTGTCTGTGTCTGTCTGTTGTCTGTGTGTTGTATCGTTGTCTGTGTGTCTGTATCGTTGTCTGTGT